AATGTAAACAAAACAGGCATGGAGGTGTTAAAATTATCCAAGCCTATAATGAAAACGGCCGATCGAGGAAGCATACATTTCGTGCTTTACATGAATTTTTTGGCGCAGAAAATCGGCCTTGTGAGAGAACAATTTGGAATTTGGTGCAAAAATTCGAGCAAACTGTATGCGTCGCTAACATCAAAAAACCCCTAGGCATGCTCGTAGAGGTCGGTCGGAATACAATATTGCTATTGTTGCCGAAAGTGTGGCCGAAAATCCAAGAACATCGATTCGTCATCGATCGCTGTAACTGGACGTTACCTATTCCACTCCACAGCGGATTTTAACAAAAGATTTGTTACACCCATACAGACTCCAAATAACACAGGAATTGAAGCCTAGGTCACACATCAGAAGAAACGATACAATTACTGCGCGGTAAGTTTCCAGGTCGCGTTATTTCACGTAACGGCGATATCAATTGGCCGCCGCGATCCTGTGATTTAACTCCCTTAGATTATTTTCTTTGGGGATATTTCAAGAGCAAAGTCTACAAGAATAATCCGAACACAATTGCGGAGCTGAAACAGGAGATCAGACGCGAAATTACCAACATAGGACCTGACTTGTGCCACGGAGTAGTCGAAAATTTCTCGAAACGGATTACGTCATGCCACATGACCCGCGGCGGTCATTTACTTGATATAATCTTTCAAGAATAATTGTAATGAACTGCCCTGAAAGGACAAATACATACTTTTTATAATTTTCAATTTCTTCTTTTTTTAAAATACTTTTAATGTGGAAACCCAATTTGAATCACCCTATATTATTGAAATTGAAATCTGTATTCATTTACGAACAGATTTGATATCTTGAATTTTTCCAGTCTGACGCATAGTTCTCATCTAAAAATATAAAACCTAATTCTCTGCAAGGTGATATTGTCATGATCATGCAGAGAAACGTTTTTTTATTTTTTAAGCAAAAACCGCGCATCGCATTAAATAATCAAGCGATCAAGTTTGCTTAGAAATGATTGGAGATTAGAAGAGTAATTTTTATTTCAAGAGATATCAGTGGCGTACCATTAATGTCTGCCAAATTAGGCAGGTGAAATTTCGTATGAACGCCAGTGGTGGAAAAAAATGTGGTACATTCAAAAATGCCTCTTGATACATAGCACATGTATTCCAAATTCCGTTAAGATATCTATATACATATGATATCTAAGGACCGTACCGTCAATCGATCCTACAATTGAAGGACGCCTTTATGACCTTGAATTTTATTACTTTTGCTTTGCTTCAGCTATGTATGGCTGTGGTCGCTTGGTACGGAACCATTATTTCTAGATTTCTACCGTGTCACCTATTTGGGTGTTACATTATGGTTATTTTGACGTTTAAGAAATTTTAGTCTGATGAATCTAATGCAGAAGCATTTATTTTCTTCCAAATAATGTCTATCAGTCAATAATATTTCCCCCAATTGAACAAATTCCACCAGCTGTGGTATCTTCAAGAAATTGTTGGGTTAGGAAAAACTCATATCTTGCAAGATATTAATGCATTAATGCATTAATGATCTGAAAATGAACAATTTAATGCAAATGGATAATATATATATATATATATATATATATATATATATATAAGTACCCAAAAGCTTACAACCAAGATGTTCCCATGTTGAACGTAGTCAAGTTACAAAATGAATCATTGCATTTTCATATTTATACACCTATCGCATTTTTTTCAGATGTTATTCATTCTCACAGACTTTATGAGAAGTTGGTTCATCCAGGATAAAAACATTGTATCCCAACTTCTATTGAATTGTTGCTATTAGAGATGCCTGTTCATAAATCAGTGTTGGACTCTGGATTGTGTAGAGTGTCAGGCTACAGAATGTATAATGAGTAAATTCTCTGAAATTCAGTTTAACCGTGATCTCTTTCCCTACCCAATATATTTTTTATATATAATTCAAAAAATATTATTATAAGCTTGCAGTCCACACCAAGAGGTAAAATTTTTCTGGAAGTGATACATCTTTGTTGCAGATATACAGCATCCTGATGTTGTATACAAAACTCAGTAAAATTCTGTTTCTGTTTTGGAAGGATAAAGAGGCGAATGATTTTCCTAAGAAGGCATTTATGCATATAAGCATATTAGAAGGAACCAATGTTACATCTTGAATTTTGAATTTGGTTTTTGTGACCGACATGTGTTACACTGCAATTTGTTAATTGTTATAGTCAAAATCATAAAAATTAACACTTATTAACCTCAAGATGACCTATGTTGAGCAAGTATGTATGTGTAAAAGTTCTGAAATTGATTCCATAGTAAATTGACAATCATTATTTCATCTCGCAAGACCATGGGCTTGTAGAAGCAGCAAGTATGAGATATTACAAGGAGTAAATGGACAAGTGGAGTTGCAGCATACCTCATACCTTCATCTCCTAAAATTTCATAACTGAAAGAGAAGTGTGTGCTGAATAGGACTGATATTTGAGAATTTTAACCTTGTGTGCATAGATAATAGATATACACTGAAAAGAGCCTTTTTGGAAATGGAAAGCTGTCATCATTAAGAAAGTGTTAGATATCATATCAAAATTTCATACTGCCAGTCTTATAGAAACCACAGCATGTTCAAACGCATGTGACCTTGGCTTTTGTGTCCAATATGTGTTACAGTAGAATTTGTCAATTTAAGGAATGCATAAGCCTATATAACCGTAGTGCTAATCATAAGAGTTAAAAGTTATGAGCTTTGTTATGCCTGAGCAGGGGGTTCTCAAATGGTTATTATTGCATGTGAGATAGCTAAAATGTCGCACGAAACTCGGTTAAATGCCTTCGTGAATATTGTAATCAACTTTTCTATTCGTCAAAACGTCACGTGTTTGCGATTTCTTACTCATTCGTCTGAACGGCATTTGACAAAGTCGGAGTTTTCCAGAAAATACTTACATAACTGACAGCACACTGGCAAATGACAATCACAAAAATAAAAGTCCAGTGATGTAGCAAAACGTCGATATGAAGTACATATCTTAACATTTATGGTTATATCGGTACTTAGGAGTAAAACATAAGAAATCACCATCACTTTTAATGATATTTTTTCAGATTTACTTGCATTACTTAAAGATACATCCCATCCTGACAAGCCAAGGGTACAAGACACTGTTCCGGAACAGGTCAATTCCAGTGCAAGGATTGTTATTAGAGGAAGAAGAAGAGTCAAGATATTTAAATTGGATATTTCAAAAACTTTGATACATACAGTGAATTCACATTAACTTTCCAAAGATGATCTAATATACCCCCAAACTAGAAACTTTTGTTTGTAATTGATTAGATATTTTTTGCCCTGATTGCAGAGATTGCAAATTTGAAAATAGCATACAATATAGTCAACATCATGATATAGAAGGTTTTAAGAGAAAAGAAGGATTACGAATTGATGAAAACTATATTATTTCTAGATATTTTTAAAAGAACCAATTGCATTTCTGTTATTTTACCAAGAATTCTTTTATTTATATTCTGCTGATACTTACCATATAATACAAGAAATTGTTAATGAATTAATAGATAGTATGTCAAAACATATAAGTATCAGTAATTGAATGATGTCCTATATCTAAAAGTACAACTAATTACAGGAAATATGAACAAATATATAAAAGTAAAAAGTACACTAGTGTATCAAAATAACCTTTAATACTTTTAGATTTACTTACATAAAATGTACACGATGAATGTCAACTTCATAATATGATCATATGTCTTAAACGTCTTGACTGTTGAGAAACAGGGTGGTAAACTTCAAAAATCAATATTGTTTTAAGATATGTAATATCACTTTAAATACTTCAGTTAAATTTGGCATACATGTACTTTGCAACAAGAGGTATATTTAAAATACGAATTTTCGTACGGATTTCACTTGCCTATTTTGGCAGACAATGATAGTAAGCAACTGATTTCTCTTAAAATAAAAATGACTCTTGAAATCCTCAGTCATTTCTAATGAAATTTGATTGCTTAATTTTTTCAAATCCGAGGCACGGTATTCGCTTAAAAAAAATTAAAAAACGTTTCTTTGCCTGATTCTAATATGGTTAGTATGACGTTGTCACTATGTAGAGAAATAGATTACTTAGGTGAAAACCATGCGTCAGGCAAAATTCAACAATTCAGTATTTTTCAAGTCCGACCCACGATTTCCACCCAAAAAATAAAAACTACTTCTATGCATGGTGATACTGTCATGTAAACGGTACTGTCATGATCAAAGAGAGAACGAGTTTTTATTGTTATGAAAACCGTGACTGAAAAAAATTCAAATGATTAAATTTGTTTAGAAGTAATTGAAAATTTCAATAAGAGCTAAATCAGTAGTATAGCATCACTGTCTGTCAAAATAGGCAGGTCAAATTAAAAACATGCCTCTTGGTACAGGTACATGTATGCCAAATTTCATTAAGACATCTAGAGTGGTACGAGTATTACAGATATTCATAATCAACGATTTAACTTGTTGGCAACTTTACCACCCCGTGTCTCAAAAGCTAAAACATTTAGGACATAAGATCATATGAAGTTTTGATCTCAAAATGGACCTAAAACCACCCCCACTTAAATATTGACATCCAATTAGGAAACACACTAAATTGCAGCTACTAATACTACAAGAGATATAAATATGCAGACTTCAGCTAAAGATTTAATATTTTTTTACTGTATCTATCGTAACTAGTAAACTCTGCTTTTCGTATGGGTGTTTCAAATATCAAACCTGTTCAATTCTTTATAATTTCTTTCTCAACCTCAACCATTCCTATACCACAGTTTTAATAGATTTTCCCTTTCAGGTTAAGATTTCAAGTCAATTAAAGAACTTGAGTTGAGATTGAGAATTTCTTAATAAAATAATTGGAAAAGAAAGTGTATTTAAGTTTCCCTACTTTTGTTCATATACCATATGATACAACATTAATATATGGTTCAACACATTTGATAAATGCAAGATATTGTTGATGTATTTTCTTAGCTCGCCCAGTAGCTGGAGTCTCCATTATTGATAGCAATTTAAAACCAAAAGTTATACAGTTGAAATACAAATCAAATTCCGTACCTCACAGCCAGGTTATGTTTAGCTCATTTTTGCCTAAAATGAGTCTTTCTTGCTAAGTTCATGATAATGTTGTGAATTTTTCTGAATTATCTTATAATTACTCGTAGGACTTAACCTAGTCTGACTTCGAAGTAACATTTTCAAAATAATCTTTTCTGCTATCTAGTCCTTTGAAGTGTTTGGAACTTGTTCAACAGGAAAGTGGTTCGCTTGATCATTCACAATATTCTTTTATTTACTGATTTGTAGTTAATTGTGGAATTTTATGTCATACAGTTTTTTTGCTTTTGCTTCATGCTGCAACTCTATTGTCCTGTTTACTCTCTGTAATACTTTGTATTTGGTAATCCTACATGACCATGGTATTTTGAGCATCCTGAAATAAAGATGGCCAATGGCAATTATGATCTTCACTTACACGAATTATATACATACTTGTATCCTGACACTGTACACAATCTAGAACAATGATTTGTGAAAAAGCGTGTCCGACATCAACAGTGCAGTATGTGAGATTGAATGCCACATAAAAAAATGCGATAAGTATATAAATATATGAATGCGCAATGATTAGTTTTGTAACTTACCTATCTTCATTAAGGGAACAGCTTGAATGTATGCTTTTGGGCTTTTATTCGAAGGGGTACCCAGAAAAAAATATTTTTTAAAAGCTATATATTTTCAACTTTTTCACAAAGTAACCTTATCTCATTCAAAATACTGTCCACTACAGCTAATACACCGGTCCTTCCACTGCTCGAAACATTTTTTGAAGTCTTCCTTAAAAATGTCTGACAGCTCCTCCCTCGTTTTTTTCTTGACCTCTTCTATGTCGTCAAAGCGACGTCCTTTCATGCCCCTTTTCATCCGTTGAAATAAAAAAAATCGCACAGAGCCAGGTCACGCGAGTAATGTGCGTGAGGCAGGGGAACCATGCCATTTTCAGCCAGAAACTGTCGAACAGAGATGGCTGTGTGCGCAGGTGCATTATCGTGGTGGAAGAACCAGTCTCCTGACTGCCACAAATCGGGTATTTTTTACCGAACCCTGTTTCGCAATCGTCTTAAAACCTCCGAATAGCACAAGCTCTCGAATATTTTTCAACATTTTCGTCGATTCGGGTAGTTGGTGTGGACGCCCAGAGCGAGGTTTGTCATCAATCGACATGTCGCCATTTTGAAATCGAGCAAACCACTCGAACACCTGAGTTTTTCCCATAGCATCATCTTTGTAAGCTATTTTCAACATTAAAACAGTTTCAGCGGCATTTTTACCAGTTAGATAGCAAAATTTCACCGCTGCTCGTTGCTCACTGAAACTTGCCATCGTAAAAAACGAAACAGCTCTAGCAAAAATAATGACTACAGAGAAACGAAACAAGTCTGCTCGACATCTCAGGTGGCACTGAACTGGTAATGAGTTGCGCTGTACGCCTCTAGAGGCAGAAACGTGTACTACACAAGCTCCGCCCACTGCAATGCAAATACGGTTATTTTGGGGTACCTGCTCGTATATAAATACATATCCATTTACATTAAATTGTTCATTTTCAGATCATTACCAGATATGGGTTTTTTCTAACCCAACAATTTCTTGAAGATACCACAGCTGGTGGAATTTTTTCAATGTGGGGAAATATTGACTGATCGTCATTATTTGGAGCAATATAATGCTTCTGCATTTGATTCATCAGTCTAAAATTTCTTAAACGTCAAAAAACATAATCTAACATCAAAAAAGGTGACACGGTAGAGAAATCTAGAAATAATGGTTCCGTACCGGGCAACCACACACGTGCATTTCTGAAGCAAAGCAAAAGTAATGAAAATCAAGGAGGCCATAAAGACGTCCGACAATTGTAGGAACGACTGACGACACGGCCATAAAATATCTGTTCTCACACCAATAACTTGCCTACTTACAAAGCTTCCAATATAATAGTGGAAAACACCAAATATGATATTATATTGGTGCAAAGAATAAAGTATGTCGGAATATACAAATATACGGAAAACAATCTTTTGGAAGTCCCATATATGCCATTTTACCCAAATTGAGACACATCATAATATGTTACAGTAGAATAAAGAAAACCTTGTCGTGTTGTGTTGTCGTTAGTATAAGAGTATTTTGTATTTTTTGTCCGCTCACTAGGCTCACCCTTCCGCGGATTTTTCATTTATTTGTCTGAATATAAAATTTGTTCAGTAAAGTGTATATGTTGAAGACAAACAAATATTATTATTATCATCATTATCTTAATCAAACTGATATTACAGAAATCAATAATAATTTTTCAAAACTTTACCACCCTGTGTTTCAAAAGTTAAGATGTTTAGGACATGTGTTCATATGAAGTTTTCTTCTTGAAGTTAACCCAAAAATCGCCCACTTAAATACTGACATTCAGTTGGGAAATACCCTGTAAATGTGAACGATACTAGCGCCATCTATGAGACAGTAAAACATGGATTTTCAAATCATCCGTGAAAAGCTCTAAGTTGTTTGGTTATGCTACCTTCTCATAGATGTAGCAGGATTGTCAAAAGGTATTCGTTAATCAATGCCGGAAGATACTCAATTAAGTAGCAAAACCAATCTCATTTCAAAATAGATTACTAAATTCATTTTTCTATATTCAGGAAGAATATGTTGATCAATACCTAAGTCGAATGGAATGGTATCAAACCGCATTTTTGAAATTCGGAAGAATAAACTCTGATCCGTGGGGCAGTCATCTGCAACTTGTTAAATAGACACTGAGCTACATAGGCACGTTGCTTGTTCTTCTGAATGGTCCTTTTTCCGAATTTCAAATTCATATCTATTTAGATGAAGCTTCTTGAAAAACTCACCACTTTGCTCGATAGTAACCCTCTTCCTCACTCTATGTTGATTCTCCATAGCATCCTTCAAACTCTTCAGCGCAAACGTAATATTTCCAGACTTTTCTTGAATCTGACCCAACAACACCAACAATCTCGTTCTAAAGCGTAAATAAGTTAAATCTGACTTTTCTACGTTTGACTTTTCTTCTTCTAGCTCGTTCAACAAAATCAACTCTCCTTTTTCGTATTCCCGAAGATTCATATGCAACTCGGCTAACTGAAGTTTTAATTCTGCATCATTTGAAGTTTTTATTGCTTCTTTATAATAGTTCACAGCCCGTTTGAAATAGTGAGTGTCAACGAGAGCTTTTCCCATTTTGGAGATTAAGACAGGGTCCGATGGATTTAAGCTCAGAGCTTTTTCGTATGATTTCAATGCTATGTCAGGTTCTGTAGTATAAACAAAAAAAACATTTGTATGACATTTTAAGGTACTTTTTTAAAAAGACAACACAACAATAATCTCAATTATTGAAATAAAGAAGCATTTCTGACATTCAGCTTTTTAAGATTATTTATTTATTTAAAACGTCGGCTATCTGCGATAAATTTGGTATATTCTGGAATACCAATTTTCGATGACGCGTACAAGCATTTCGAGTATATTTAGTGACCGTTATCGCACCATGATGAATCACTATTTGATGCCTGAAATTGAAGTCCATAATCTTCGGACCAGTTGGTTTCAACAAAACGGCACGTCGCATCTTGTAATCGTGAGACCATGATTCTACCGCGACAATAATTCGGCAAGCATCTAAATTCTCGTTTTCGGACCGTCCAACTGACAGCCGCCTAGATCGTATGATTTCAAACATCTAGATTTTCCCTTTGGGCTAGGCCTACATAGATATGAGAGAACGATTGAGGAACTAGAAATCAAAACATATTCTGGGCGAATGAAACCACATATGTATGAATTACTTTTTACTATGTTTCCGCCACCACGGTGATCTTTTTTAAAGTACAGAGAATAACAGCGACAATATATTTTGTTTATCTTGTAAAATGTTTTTTTTTTCAAAATGGTAGATGCTTCGTTTGTTTGAAGATAAAGATAGCTAGGCACAATTGGTTATTTTTATTTTTTCATCCTTTTGAAAAAAGCACCTCCAAATGAATCGCCCATTATACGCAATCTTTAAAGTGAGATGTGATTGCGCATCTTGTCACGTGACGTTCGTTTAGCCTCAGGCACTATTGGCCAGTCTCTCACTATGCCGGCATTACATTCCACGTCTCTGTCGATGTTGGTTTTATGATTATACGGCTTTGTTTGTCACCATGTCAATCAATAAACCAGCCGATTGCGCTCAGTAAGTAGGTTTTTGACGCAAAAAAGTTCTTCCTGCTGAAATTCATCGACAGATTGTCGAAAGTGTTATTGAAGCTTAGACGCTATTCATAGCCGCCGGCGAAGCCTGCTCTCCAGCAGCAGCGTCGTTTTCGACAACGCTCGGCCTCAAGTTGGGGCAAGAACACAAACGCAACTGGATCGCTTTCGCTGGTAATCACTGGATCATCCGTCATAACAGCCCTGGCTTCGCAAGGGATTTCTTGGTGGGAAGCGCTTGGAAAATGATGACATGTCGCAACAAACAGTTACAAACTGGTTTAACAGTCAGGCGGCAGCGTTGACGGGATCCAAAAGCTGGTGCCTTGATAAATGTGCTAGATTCGCTTCTCTATACATGGATCTCTGTTCCTGTCATACCTGCAGCAAATGTTAATTGGGAAAAGTTTCAGAGGAAACTCAATGCGTTCGATAACCGGCTTCAGATTTACGATTGGTCAATTGGTTTTGGAAATATCGGCGAAAAACCGAAAATGTTTCTAAAATTACTGAAATCCTTTCTTGAAGGAAGAAAGTTTCGGATCAAAATTAACAATGTTTTGTCAACAACACGGCCAGTACGGGCCGGTGTTCCTCAGGGTTAGGTCCTATGACCAAATCTTTATTCGCTTTTCATCCATGATGTCCCTTCCCCCAGCAACTGCGAAGTCTACCTCTATGCTGACGACACTGCACTTGTCGCCCAGTCGTGTACTGGTGATCTGGTTCACGATGGGTTGCAGAATGCAGTGGACGAAGTTCTAGAGTGGGCAGAATGGTGGCTGATAAAAATTAATCATTCGAAAACGCCGGCTATTCATTGTACCAAAAAACGTCGCGGCCCCCCAGCAGAGGTTTCTGTAGACGGAAATCGTGTACCATGGACAAATTCTGCCAAGTATCTCGGTGTCACCCTTGATAAAGGCATGACCTGGCAGAAACATACAGCATCCATAAAAACAAAATTCCAAATTGCGTTTCGGCAACTATATCCTTTGTTATGTAGATCCTGCAAATTGAGTTTGATAAACAAAGTTCGACTATATAAAATGATTATTAGACCAGCCATTACTTATGCATGTGCGGCTTGGTGTTTTCTTGCCAAGACACACATGCAAAGTCTTCAAGTACTGGAAAGCAGAACTTTGCGGACAATTTGCAACGCTCCATGGTATGTCTCAAATGAGACACTACACAGAGACCTTGACATTCCTTACTTGAGCGATTATGTCAAGCTTCAGGCGCAGCGACGTTATAGTCAAGCGGAATCGCACAGCAACCCTCTGTTGCGTGACTCAGTGGACTACACAGTGGAGCAAGATCGTAAACATTCAAGGCCACGGCTCGCACTATAATCAAAAGTTGAGCGTGAATCTGTAGTAAACTCAAAATTACACTCTAACAAAACCGAATCAAAAAATTTGTTTAGTTCACCTCAAAATTAATCCGTGTACCAAGTCAAAAAGCCTAGGTGTTTCCTCTTAAACTAAGCATATCTGTTTTTCTTTGCTCTTCTCCTTTTTTCTTCTCTTTCCCTTTCTCTTTTTCCTTGACTTTGTCTGGTTTCTGGGCAACCAGGACTGACAGATTCGACTGACGTACATTAGACAGTGACTAATGGGCAAAGGTCCTACGGACCGCCCAGACAAACAAATGGCGAATAGTAGTACCGAAAATGTCGTTTTTTGTTTATTGCCAGTAAATTCGAAACGGTTAACTTGACAGTTGTCAAAATGTGAAATTATTCGGACATTTTTTTAAGGCAAATATGGCAACCATATTGGATTTTTCGATTTTTGAAAAGAGCGTAAAATGTCCAGCCTAGTAATGTCTCACAAGTGCATAAAAGATTGGAGTATCATCGAAATATCATCACGCGTAACGTTTATGTATTAATTTTTTTTTCTAAGGTCATGATTTATTTGTCAGAAAATAAAATTAATAAGTAACGCATTTTTTCATCTAAGGAGGCTCTGACTTTGACGTTAAACGGTTGAAAGTATTAAAATTGTGTTTTAATAAGTAGTAGATACGTTTTTTCCATTAAAATCATAAATCTGCGAAAAAAAATAGTCAAAACCTGTTGAAAATGGCCGGTATTCCCCACTCAAATGAAGAAAAGTTTGACATGTTAGCGATGTACTTGCAGTCACACAGAAACGCCGATATTATCTCAGCAAGGTACTTGGAGATGAACCCCGAACGACGGCAGCCTCATAAAACCCTATTTAGGAAAATAGTAGTTAATTTAATAAACCATGGGTCCTTCGAACAACCTAGAAGCGGATACAATATTCAAAATGAAAATCGCGGCAGAACATTCTACAAGCTGTCAACGAAATCCCTAGTGCATCAGTAAGAACTACAGAACGAGAAATTCCTGGGTCAAAATCAACAATACAGAGAGTGTTAAATAAGAATAAATACCATCCATACAAACCTACAATAGTTCAAGGACGTAACGAAACTGATTTTCCAATGCGAATGTGCTTCTTTGATTGGTATATGTTACTAGGAAGTCTAATGAAAATTCCGATTTTGTAAATCATGTCTTGTGGCCCGATGAGAGTAGGTTTACGAATTGTGGAGTTTTTAATAAGCTCAACACTTATCCTTGAGTCGTGGAAAACCTTCACGAAGTGAAGTGAAGACGTCTACAGATAAGATTTAGAACTTAAGTTTGGTGTGGGGTCATTGATAATTTAATCTAGCTTACGTTTTTTAATTGGGCTCCTATTTGAAATTAGGTATTGATCATCTCAGGAAATCGACTTATAGGACCATTTTTGTTTGACTACAGCGTAAACGAACAAAGGTACCTAGAGCTTTTGCAAAACCAGGTTGTGTGCCAGCTTTACGAGCTAGTCTAACCGAAAATGAGTTTAGAAGAACCAGGTTTCGACAGGATGGATGTCCGGATAACAACGCCATTCAAGGCAGAAACTTCTCAAGAGAGCAGTTTGATGAAAGAATAATTTCATTAAATGGTTCAATATCTTGGCCTCCTAGATCCCCTGACCTTTCATCCTTGGATTTCTACCTCTGGGGTCACACAAAGATGAGGTCTATGAATTTGATCCTCCCGCGACCAATAGAAATCCTGAGAAGAATCTGAGCACAGTGAAAAACATTATCAGAAATACACTGAGCTAAGGTTGTACGACAAACAGTCACCAATTGTCAAAATGTCTGGCTGCAAATGGACGTTATTTTGCAAATCTGTAAATTAATACCCACTTACATAATTAAATTTTACATTACGTTACAATTTCGTAAAATGTTTGTTTGTTAAAATGTAAAATAAATTGACGACGATTTTTCTGACTTGTTTCTTTAACACACTCATAGTTGGGAATTTGTCCCAAAACATTTGACTGGTTGAGAACTCGATATTAATGTTAATATTCTACTGAAAATTCAAAGAGTTTATGTGTTTTTTATGCCTTACTCATTAATGTTATTTTCTTACAAATAAATCATGGCCTCCTTAGAAAAAACTTATACATAACATTATGCGTGATCATATTTCGGTGATACTACAATCTTTTATGAACTTGTGAGACATCACTGGACTGGAAATTTTACACTTTTCAAAAATCAAAAAATCCTCTATGGCGGCCATAAGAAAAATGAAAGTTGAGACGAGTTGCTGGAGAACAAAATACGATTGAGATATGTCATACATGCTACCATATTTTTCTTAAAAATAAAAGTATGTCACATTTTGACAGCTGCCAATTACTCGTTTTGGATTTGTCATACAATTTACGTTCAGAAATAAAGTTTCTCTGACTCCATTACAAAATGGTTCTTACTTAAAAATGAACCTCGTAACTGCATATTTATGTGTACAAGTGAGGTATACCTTTAAAATAACTGGGTGGTCTCAAAAGTGATCACGTTTTCTATCTCTTGTAGGGTGCTTGAATGATATCTTACCTAAAACTGTCATATAAGCATCTCCTAAGGCTACATAACTACTGACGCTAGGATTTTCCTCTGCAAATTCCTCATGACACTTGAGAAATGCCTTTTTATCTCTCCTATAGTTCAACATAATATCTGCATGTTTGGCCATGGCTTCTGTGTAACAGCTGTCCGATGGTGAAACTTTATCAAGCAAATCTAGAGCACCTTGGATATTATCTCTTTTTATCAAATGTTCTGCACTTAACAACAATACCCTGAAAGCAAAATGACAGCTTGAGAATATATCATAAGGCTATGTTACTAGAACAGCAAACGCAAAGGCAGCTCGTCTGTACTAAATTAGACAAATTTATAACCACTGATCGCTGTTGGGGCCACATGTCCTTTCCTTTTTTTTTCTTATTTGAAGGCGAAGAGATCAGCCTCCCCCTTTTTATTAGATACTAGACTAAATGCGCAGCTCCGCTCGCGTGGAAGTACTGTAAAGTATAGGTCATTCGTTTCCATTAGTGTGAAGGCAATAAACAATATATTCAATTCAATGTTTCAGTTTTTTATATCCTCAACAAAAAGTAAGGAGTTTATTTGAAAGGTTATCTGATATGGAAATGACCTTAAAGGAAACTTGCATTTCGGGAATTAATAATAGGTGTTTCTCGTTAAAAAATTAATCTGTGATCTTCAAATGACCTTGTTCAAAAATATTGTTTTCCATTTAAGAAAGCCGTCTTGACCTTCAAATAAGGCTGAGGGTTTTAGTCAAGGGCACGTTCCAGGTCATCGTTAGATGAATCTTTTCAAACCTTACAGCCTTATTACCCATGTTTCTTTACGAGACGGATTTTTCGAGATATTTTGTCCCTTCCCTACATTCGGGGCATCCTCAAATATCCATGAAGGTCATGGTCAAGGTCACGAGCAAGGAACATACTTGAACGTAAAATTATCAGTTTTTTACATTTCCGGAGTTTAAATAGGGGTTTCATTCAAGAAACTGTATTGACCTTCAAATGACCTTGAAGATCATAGTCAAGGTGCCGTTCAAAATCACTTATGGATTAACCTTTTCAAACCTTAAAAGTATGTTACACGACCGTTTTCTCTAGGAAACGTAATTTTCAAGATTATTTGAACTATCCATACTTTTTGAACACCCTGTATAATTTCGCCTGTACCCTTCCTTGGATTTCAACTAGTAGGTGTACACAGTTGCACGCCTCTGCGTATTGTGGTTCAGACGTAGTGCTAACAGACTGCTCAGACCGGTGGGACAGACATTCACATTTATATAGATTTCGTCCCCACCTACGCTACGCAGCTGCTAGCGGTGTATTCTGCTTTTTATCACATTCACAAAAAATAAAGAATTGCAAAATAACGCTAAAGCAGCTTACTTGTATCCGGTTGGTGCCCGAAAAACCCGCAAAACTGCAGGACATTTGGACCCTTTGGGATCCCACATCTATAGCTACAGGACCTCCAAGCTCGCGGAAGACAGCACAAAGGTAAAAGAATCCAGCGCCTTGACCGTATGTTGCTTTCATTTTTGTTTTAATGTACTATCGCGAGATACACCCTCGTACCTCAACTAGAACATTCGACAGGTTCACAGAAGTTGGATTGACGCTTAGGCAACCTGAATTAGGCAACCATATATGGAGCGTGGTAGCATTTCTGGACCCTTCGCGACCCCATTGGGAATTTTCGTATTTTCGTAAGGTCTGAAGATAAATCTGCTGCTATCTAGACCACGTCCACGAAAGTTCGCGAAAACGCTGGAATTTTTCTCAACTTGTCGATAGAGGAATAAATATCCAACCAGATGGCTGAAGCAGTCACTCACAGTCGAGAAGTGAATGAGCAGCGACCGATGCGTCAACATAGCGAAGTCGACATAGTTATCAATATGTCATAAATTAGTTGCAAGTATTATAAGTTAGTGTAGAGTAAAAATTAGATTTTGGATAGTAAAAACGATGTTTTCGTTACAGTATGTTAATCAATGATTTTCACCTAGCTTCTTCAGGAGATCCCTTTAACTCCTCTGAAGCCTCCTCCAATAGTTTCTCAGCCTCTTCAGTTCTCTGCATGAAGTGCAATGCATCTAGAAGTTCCACATACATTCCAGCAATATCAGCCAAACCTACTTTCTCCTTTTTTGACAAGGATAGTGCAGTATTAAGGGACTTTATTGCTTCAGAATAGTTGCGGGAATTCTTCTCAACCAAAGCAATGATGTAATGATATACTGGGTCATCCCTAATTTTAAAATCGTTGCTAACACATGCTTCTAGAGTCTGCCTGGCTCTGTCAAATTGACCATGTTTAATCTAAAATAATAAAAATATTATTACAAAAAAGAGACTAGACTCTATAACTTGTTATACTTAGATCTGCAGGCTAACACAAGCATTTCTTAAGTGTTAAGCAAAAGATATACCTGGATTTGCGCCATCAACAGCTGAGCATTACTATTTGGTTCTGAAGTATTTGATAGAAGTGTTTCCAAACGTCTCAAAGCATTCATGTCATCACCTTTCAAATTTTGCAATTTTGCAAGGACAAATGAGATTTCAGAAGATCCAGGGCAACATTTCACCTAAAATAATCTTTATAGTCGTTTTTTAGAAACAACAAAAACCTCTATCACCATGATATTTAATATCTCCTGTACACTATCAGTTGCTCCTTTTAACACATTGAGTGCAACTGTGGCATACTTCAAATACTCCTTGGTTACATCCAACATCAAATCTGGATCAAGTATCAGTAAAAATTGGCCAGAAAATGGGACACCTTTCAATTGTGATAATTTGATATCACAAATAGATTTGAGACGTCTAACAGCATCTTCTGCATTCTCAGTAGCTTTTACTTGTATAAGCATTAACAAAGGTGATGTAGAAGATTCTTTCAACTCCATTAAGAATTCTATCTGCTTCTTGAGTTGCTCAGAATTGCCATTTTCTGAATACTCGCACATAGATAGGCCTAGCAGTGCATTGAAGGATGTTTCTTCAATTTTTGTAGCATTCTTGAAAAACCTGTAATATTTTTTAGAGATACAGTGTGTGGGGTTGGTGGATAACTTCGGTATTATGCATAGTTCTAAAAAAGTGAATCATAAATATTGTACCCAACAGTGTCCCTAAAGGTCTATTCACACTCAGCCGTGACGTGACAGTTCCGTGACCTGCCAGTGATTCTCGCTAAGGTGAGCTCACAGTGTTTTCAATTCACACTGGTCAGTATTTTTCTCCATGCTCTGACAGTGCAGTTGTGTTCACGTAGGATCGAGATGACGAAATTTTCAGAGGTTGAACTTGCAATTATTGCATTAATTCTGGATTTTCTTTATACTCCAACTACCACAAAGGCATAAGCCCTAAACACCCGTGGGGTACTGTGGTGCTATAGGGGGAAACATAGGGAAAAGGCAGGACCCCTTACGGACTCTGGCTAGGGAACATGCAACATGCACACATTCTGGCCCCGCCTACGAGATCCGCCGGGTGGTACCTCCGCCTTCGACAGTCAGAGACCGCCTGCCACCTACGAAAGATGAAGAAGAAGAAACGAGAAGAAAACGGAAGTCCATGTATTTTGAATTTGTCTGGTTCTGCAGCACGCGATGTACGCGTACAAATTCAGTTAGTTATTCATTATTCATGTTTTTGACCAATTATATCAAAAAATTCACGAAATTACATAAAAACACGGCCGTAAAAATCGAAAAATATCGTTCCAAAACAATGCAATGATCACGGTACGGCGTCGTCGAGCGCACTGAGAACACGGCCACTTCCACGTGCCGGTCTAGTGTGAATCAGTTCATTCAAATTCTAGGAAGAAACTTCTCCGTTTCACCGGGCGGATCACGTGCCGGTTACAGCACTGTCACGTCACGGCTGAGTATGAATAGGCCTTAACTCGGAACTCTACAGCATACTTTATGACTACCTGGAGTCCTAAACATAACTTTTTTAATGGAAAGTCCTACATTTTATTGCAGATAAGCCCTTTCAAATGAATTAATTTAATATGAAATGCTGTAGACTTTAATTTTAAAATTGTTGAGGTATCTGCCAATCCATCAAAAAAACTCAACTCAACTTTGACAACTTGCATGTCCAGAACTGTTATAGAGTACTGAATTTTCCGTTAGCAACATTTTATGATCCCAGGTTTACCCTCTGCCTATACTTACTGTTTCATTTTTTTAAACTGTTTCTACAGGGTGGTCAAAAAGGCTAAACGTAATATTTCTTTATTCTTGAAATGAAACATCCTGCATTTTTTCACATTTTGTGACTCCCCTTTTCACAAGCTTTTTTCTGATTACAGGATTATAGGGGTTTTGAGTTACAGGTAACCTTTTTGTCAATCAGATATCAAGATAAATGAAGAAAATCACCATACCTTCCAAAATAAAAAATAGTATTTGTATTTTTATTATAAATCCAACCCACCCGAAACCTTATGCAATAAAGTGAAAAAGTCAGGAAGGTGGCCCTGTGTGTTTAGTACCTCAAAAACCATTTCCACAAGCCCCCAAAAACTTTATATTAGAAAAAATCTTGTTCAAAGGGGAATAAATGTATGTGAAAATATAGCAGGGTGTTCAATTTGAATGTTTTGAGAAATAATTCATTTTGCATTCTTTAACACACCCTGTATACACTGTCTATAAAAGTTAGGCAGGTAGGGAGAAAATATAATAGAGCCTGTGGAGATGCAAGTTGTCAAAGTTGAGTGTTTTTTCAGATAGATTATCCAATACCTCAACAATATGATAATAAAACCCTATCCTATAGTATGTAATACCAAATTGCTTCGTTTAAGAGGGCCTATTCAAATCTGTAATTAGCTGTTAGTACTTTCCATTTAAAAAAAAGTATGTTTGGGTCACCACATAATTATGAATCTCCCTGCATACATAAAAATATTTTCTGAGCTAGGTACACACTGCTGACTACAATTTATGCAATCAACTTTTTTAGATACTATGCATGTAGTTATCAGACAAGCCCACGCTAAATGTCATTATATATGTTTATGCTGGCAGTAGCAACATGATTGACGAAAATTTTCAGGTTTTTGTTCTTTTTTTAGTCAGCCTATCTGTCCAAAATATTTCTATAATAGCCTAATTTTAGCTAATCCGAATTTATTGTGCATTTCTGAAGTTTATGAGTGTTTCAAGGAATGTAAAAGAAAAATTGCTATTATTTTTACCCGTTATTTTAAACCCCGATGATTTTAGGATGTTGTCAAGGTAATGTTTGGAGGTGGCAATTTTAAAAAATTCTAGACTCTTTTTACATTTGAATAAAACTTACCTCAGCGCTTCTTTCATTTTTCCCATAAGCAACATCTCATACCCCAATTCAATGACTAGGTCAGCCTTCTCCGGATTTGCTTGAAGACAATGTTCTAGTGCCTTTACAGTTTCACTCAAAATTTCAACATTTTTCTCGCTAATTCTAGTAAACAATTTTACACTATCTAACAAAAATTCATCATTATTGGATTCAATACTGTCAACAAGCTTGAAAAACTTTCTTAGCTGCATGATAATTTCCTCGTTGCTGCTTAATCTACATAATGAGATCATAATCAATATTTGATGTACACTCAGATTTTTTGAATCTGTGTTGCTAATACGATTTGCAGTTTCGAGAGCTTGTTCCCAATCGAAACTTGCCAAATGTACCTTCAGCTTTTGCAGTAATGGCAAAGCAGTATTGTTGTGTCTAACAACAGCTTTGTTGATTGTGTTGAGCGCTTCTACTGTATCATTTTGCATCAAGCAACACTCTGTGAATCCCAAAATTGCATCAATATAGTTAGCATTATGTTGTAATGCTATGTGGAATAACTCCTTGACTGCATCACATTTCTTAGCACCTCTGAGTTGAATCAATATCCATCCTTTCAAAGACAGGCATTCGTACAAACTACTTTGAATATTCAGGGCTTTATCAGCATAGTCTAAGGCTTTTTCTGGTTTGCCGAAACACAGAAGTACAAAAGCAGAATAGTAAAAGTCTATTGCCTCGCTGGATTTTCTATACTCACGCATTTGCGCATCCAGCTTGGTGAAAATTTCCCTGTTTGTTACACCTAGGACTTTGTGGCCATACATCAGTGCTATGGTGACTGCAAGTTTAATATCATTTTCATTTCTCAGGGCTTCTAGTTCATGAACACCTTCTTCTAGTCTGTTAATCAGTACGAGGGAAAGAGATTGGTAAAGGTGAAAACAGGGATTGCCCTTAAATTTTTGTATTCCTTCTTTAGAGGCATTTATCATTTGGTTCCAGTGCTTCTCGCGAAAAAAGTAAAATATCTTGGATTTGAGTTCTATCTCCTCTGTCTTTTCCATGTTTACATTCAAACGAGCTTTTTTGCAGAAAACAACCCTTTGTTCATTTATGAGACATCACAACATCAGTAAACAGTTTACATGCAATACATGCATAATGAGGAGCGTAATGTTTGTATTTTAGCAAAAGGTGAATTCTTTAATTCACCGGTTGATTCCACCACTGATGGATGCGGTTGACACTGTTGACAGCTTTGTATGGTGACGGCAGCAACCGGTTGAATTAAAAGGACGGATGTCTGGTCCACCGGTGGCACTGGTTGCTCAACCGGTGAATTAAAAAATACACCTAAAATGTAAATACAACTAACACCCTTAATGGCATCTCACGCAGCACAAAGGTTGCATTCGTAGTTGTTGCAATAAGTTGCTTTGTGCTTTGTTTGCCTCTCTTAACATTGATTTTGTTTCACAGATTATTTTAGTTTTATCAGGAAGGATACGAAGCTTAAGCTAATCGTAGATGCACACTCAAAAAGATGAGTGTTGTTGTGAGCCATCTGTGACCCCTTTTTTTATACTCCTAACTACCACGAAGGCCTAAGCACCCAATGGGTACCTAATACATATTCTATCAAGGGGATGCTTTACCTGACCACAATCAAATATATCATAAATCTAGTAATTATCATGTTTTATGTCTTAAATTAATGCCATCGCGCATCCTAGCATTTTTAGGGTCATGGATAGCAAGGATGGCAACCAACACTTTTAACGCAGTACGTTCATTTTAAAAATATAATCTAAGAATGCTCAATTCAATGCTCCATAAAAATAAAATGTCAAATTAATGATTTTGGATTTTGATGTTTCATGATCACACGACCTGTGATGTGCCTGGAGTGCGTTCAGTCAGATGCTTTTAGCCGGTAAAGGCATAGCCCTCGAAAGGGTGAGGTGGTGCGTCTTGGTTGTATTGTGCGACCAACGAATTCGAATAGATGCAAGAGTCAAGCATATACCTACACTAAAAACCAATTACCACTGATAATGTAATGTGTAGGAGAGTGAACGTGCAATACGTATATTACAAAGGGATAGAAGCATCTCATTGCCTAGCAAACCCGAGTACGATGCCACAGACGCCATGGGCGCACTCTTTCCAACATACTGGAGGCTTCTCCCCCGTCAGCCAAATTTGAACCTCAGCATATGCATAAATTACATTGCTTCTCGTCAAAATTGTGTAGTTTCAGTGCATGGTTTTGACCCATTTGTCCAACAATGGCTACCAACATGTTAGCGTCGTAGCTATATAATAATAATAATGAATCAAATCCAAGCGAATAACCAAAATTTCTGTGTTATGTGCCGCGGTTATAATATGGTTCAAGATGACACACGGATTGATGACGTCAGTTACACGAATCGCTTGAACGCGTTGGTTTTAACCGCGGTTTTGTTGCAAGTCGTTTATTTTAGAAAAGCGCGTATATAATCTCTGATTATTTTTATTATCACTTAATAATCGGTGCTTTTTCGTCTACAACTGTATATGGAAAGTTTAAATAAGAAACCTTTCATAATATTCATGGGAGAAATGTTTTTTTCAGATTTTTTTAATGATGGAACCATGGCTTTGTAGCTATGATAACTTTCAATTCTCTAAATTTTTCCGCATGTTAAAGAAATCATTTATTGATTCAGCAGAAATGATGAAAAAAGAAATTAGCAAAACCGTATACAGGTGGATATCATCTAGTGAGTTTATATGGCCATATTTTAATATTCTTGTGGTATATGGCTACACAGGATACTTTGTTAAGCATAGGAACTACATTTAAAGTGTCCCCAACAACCGTAATGAGTATAACTAATAAGGTGCTCCACTTTATGGTAAAACTGAAGTCAGCCTGTATCATTTTTCTCAAAAATGAAGCTGAAGTACAATAACAATATCCAATACCCGGCAAAATTCTAACTTGTCACATTTCAAATAATATCCAGAAATATAAAACTACTCTTGAGTTGGGTAAATACCACAATTTTGCGGTGATAACTATGACATATAACAGCTGATTCGTGACGTCACGGATGTTATAACCAAACTGATAACTACACTCGCTTGAACGGATTGGTAAATACCAACCCAAAATGGTAAATACCATTTCCATTTGGTTATCCACTTGAATTTGATTATACTCATCTACATTAGGCTTGTGCCGCTCTTTGCAAAATACGTTAGAAGTACTAAAGTCTTGAAAGCGTCCAGTACCAGAATTATCTGCAAACTCTCGGACTTTTAGAATATATCAGTTATACAAATTGAATGGCAGAACTGTAAAAAAATTGACTTATGCCAAACACACTTTGATCATCACTATTGAAAATTAGAAGATGAACAAGACCTTGACATACTCTTTATCCTTATATCTAGTCACAGCCGACGTCAACTACGAGCCGTGATGAAAGAAAGGCAACACCGCGCTCGGACGGCATGGTAGTGCTACCAGTGAACGTCGCCCGCCAGCGGCTGTGTGCTCCGTCTCCGTGTAACGTTCAAGAACCAAATTTAATTTTGGAAAATTATGTTTGAAAAAATAGACAAAAGCTTAGATAAAATATCTGCATAATTGCGGCCACAGATGCAAGTTAAAGAAAATTCACAGTATATAAAGTCAGACTGAATGCTGAGCAAGGTTAACTGACACAAAATAAATTTTTGATTATTGCTTTTCAAGAAGAAAATTTGCAATCTATCTACATTAATAATAGATTCAAAAATGGCATACATATGGTAGGATATGATTGGTAGATAACTGGTTGGAATTGACAGTACTCCTCTTTGCAAATGATCAAAATAAACATTTGTTGTTAATGAACCTTTTTCTTTAACTATTAGCGATTTGCATATCTCGCAGTTTAGGTTTTTAGAGAAAGCGTGTGGAGCATATCCAGATATATAAGTCTTAGTACTATCCTCTATGTCACAATTGGCTAAGTAATTTGTCTCAAATACTTCATTGAATATATCCAAAACTTCAGGATTTTGTTTGGTATCCAAGAAATCAAAATTTTCTTGAGTTTCTAAGCAGTTTTGGAACCTTGTTTTAATATCTGTTAAAGAAAATGACGATTTCTTTCCATTGAAAATATTCAATTATATTAAGTAGAGTCAGTGCGCTTTGATATAGAGCTGTATACATTTCTGGTGTCAGGTGTCCATTATTATTCTCTAGATTATGCCATTTTTCTAACCATATCAGGATTTTTTTTAAAAATTGTACTCTATAATCATATTTATTGGTAATAGGCTTACAAAATTCGTTTCGATTCAATTCTCCTTTTATTACACTTGTATTACTGACAATATCCCACCAATTCCTGATTATTTCCAAAAAGTGTGCAGCATCATTAAACTTTAATTCTTTCATAGCAGCTATTGTTGAGTGATGGAATAAATTATCTACAAAATTTACATCTTGCCTTTCAAATGAATTTGGATGCAATGTTTTATAATTTAATTTATATGCTTTCTTAACTACAGCTTCTTTTTCCAATTGATATACAGCACGAATGTTTTCAAATCTAGCATACTGAATAATATCATTATTGTCAAAATTAGGATATACAAAAGTTTTGTCTAGGTTTTTTAAATTAATCCAATTATTTCTGATACTCTTGAAAATATGCACAACATCATAAGTTAAATATATATGTTCTTATCAGGATTATGTGGATTTGGAATAGAATAATTTTCTGATGAATCCTTTGCTAATTTCCTGAACATTGCTCTATTAATTCGGTGATTATCAGTAACAACACAAATAACTTCAAATCCACATTTTTGAACTAAATTTATCTTTGATCTTATCCATATCATCGAAATTCTGGATAGCTTTTTCATGTTTATCAATTAATTTTTGTTTTCTTTGCATTGGGTCAGTTCTTTTGGGCGCTTCAGTTTTTGAAAGATATTATGGCAAGTTTGGGAAAATGGAGGGAACAGCATTTTATTTCAATTTTGGATATTTCAAAGGTATATTATTTTGGACTGTTCCATCCGCCAAAACTATATTTTCTGTCCTGATGATATCCGATTCTCTAAAATGACGACTGCACACAGCTGAATATTTTGAAGGTGTCCAATTTTTTCTGGGAATTGCCATAAGCCATTTGTTTTTCAGACTTTCGATACTTCTGAAGCGAAAAGTTGAAACATAGCTTTCTGTTTTCAAAGCAGAATTATAGTTTTCATTGCATAAAGGAACACAACAACAACGAGGCATATTGTCTGCGTCAAATACTTGATAAATGAAAAAAGAAAAATACAACCTGAATTTGCACGTTTTCAGTAGGTGAAATCCTTAGCGTCCTGAGGCGCGAACAGCCACAGTCACACTTCTTAGTTTATTTTTAAAGCACAGAAGCACTACAACTGGAGTCTATTTCTCAGATATTATAGTCACCGATCACTTTGAACACATACACACACTTTGAAGCTTAGAAAACAAGCTTATCTCTTAATTACAGCCTCTGGGATTCCAAAATCACAAATTGAAAAGGTTATGTTTTCTCAGCGTTTTGAGCACGAGTTGCGTCGATGCAGCAAGCAGCGGCGGGAGTAACACTACCACCTACGTTGCCAGATTTCTTTGTTCACGGCTCGTAGTTGACGTCGGCTGTGCTAAAACCATCAAACACTTGACGTTCCTGTGGGAGCGTAACGAACCATGTTTCCAACGTTGTAACGTCCTTTGACGCTGGTCAAACTTACCGACAAGAGCCCAAACGGGCCATGTGGCGAACGTTGGACTCATGCATTCCGTCAGCGCTCTCCCACACGATGTGGCGAATGGCCATGTGTCCAACGTTGTAAGGCATTCGCCACATCTTGTGGGACTGGTTGTATCCGAACGCTACGAGCGTGTCCGACGTTCGCCTCGCCGGGCGAAATATCCGAACGTGCTCTAAATTACGACATAGACGTGCCCTTGAAAAGCCGGTATAAAATCTAGTTGCTCATAAAATTGAGGAAGTTCCTGCATAGTCATTGCGAATTTTTTCATTTGAGCTTGGAAACTACAGAAAAATGGTCGCAAAGGCAGTGGCAGTCCTCAACGGAGAGACAGTAAAAGGCACGGTGTTCTTCTGCCAAGAGGTAAATTCCAAATTTTTACAGAAAGCCATATCTGTGTCTTTACCATAATTATCGTAATGTATACTTTGTACCCACACTGTGCTGCATCCTCTGGAACGTTATTACCGATCTATTTTTAGAACCCCAAGGCTCCAGTGAAGATCACAGGTGAGATCACGGGCCTCGGCCAAGGTTTACATGGCTTCCATGTCCACGAGTTTGGAGACAACACCAACGGTTGCATTTCCGCGGGGGCTCATTTCAACCCCCATGGCAAAGACCATGCTGGTCCCAAAGATACTGACAGGCATGTGGGTGATCTGGGAAATGTAGAGGCAGGCAGCAATGGTGTTGCAAAGATAAACATTGAAGACAGCATCATCTCTTTGGAAGGAGACCATAACATTGTTGGTAAGCAAAAAACTATCATGTTTCATCTTTGAAGATTCGGTACATGACGGATATTTCTAATAGTATGGTAAAGTTACATGATGCGTGAATACATTTTTTATTTGAAGGTAGCCTTTATTAGGCAGTTGGATAACTTTAAAAAACCCATATTTTTAAGTAGGTACTGCAGTTTATATTTCAAAGCTTGGAACTTGACTATTAAAAGTAATATATGATAGAAGTGTTTCTTGAAAAAACCTGAGAACCTGAAGTAGGTGAAGGAATCTCACATGATTTAAATATATTGGTTCTTTTTCCAGTTACAGTGAATGTAAGAATCTATTCTTTTATATTTTATACATATTACATTAACTCATTTAAAGTGGGTATACAGATTTGAGTGATGGTATTTACTGGTCAAAATTAAATGGTACAGTAATCTTAGATAAAGATTCACAAGTTCAGCATAAGTAATAACACCAATTATTGTAAGTATTGTAACTAAAATAATTGTTTAGAAACCTTAAAATTTTGTAGGACCTCTATTCAACAAAAAAACAATGCTTGTAAAGAATACAACATCAAAATTCATATACATTCATTTTAATATATGTAGAAGACCCCATTGTAAGTGACTAAAATGTCCCCTATTCAATTTAAATAAACTTGTAGCAATGTATGCAAAATAATTCTATTTTCATACTTATTCTAATGGGCATGTAATATGTGTATCAAAGGTTAATATAGTTTAGCATGTTCAGGCTAAAAAGAGGTGTATTTATTTTTAGCACATAGTGATAACACTGTAGTATCAATGTTGATAAATACCATGTCGTTAATGTTTGTTTAAATGTACTGTAATCTTGCCTATGTAGAAAAATCATTGGTAATCTTATTTGTATCACAGAAACTTTGTGTAGAGATTGCTTATCATCATGATCAAAATATGTTTTATTAAATTATGATATACCCTGATTATTCATTAATTTTTCTCTAGGACAAATATTTAGGCCTGGCAAGACTCTTCAAGCCCTGCTCTAACTACATTACTAGGGCAAATATTTCACATTCTGTTTTTTTTTTCTTCTAATGGGATTTATAGGTACTTATTTCAAAAATAAATATTAATAATAATCTATTTTATGGGGTTATCTTATTATTGATGAAAAGAGGCTTTCTTGATATTCAGTATTTGAACATTATTTCAGTCATCTATTAAGTTATTCTTCCTGAGGATCACCATTCACATACTTGTAACCAGTATCCAAAACAGGACCTAAAAGATACTTACACCATCTATGAGACATTTATAACATACATAAAAGAATTTAAAAATATATTTTGAAAAGTAGTAGTAGTAGACATTTATTTACTCCATTATAAAGGGTTTTCCATTAAGGACTTGACAACTTTCTTCTAAATAAAATGCAAACCATTTGAGATATTTCCAAAACTTCATTATTGGATTGAAGTATACTCAAAATATTCATGTATGGAATTCGACCTCGTTCATATGTCCACCACGGGCACGTTCGCGGCGATCGATTCGTTAAACCCAATTTTCAATGACTCCCCCATACATTTCGACAGAAACGGCCGCTATCTCTCGTTCAGTATTGGCTCTGAGCTCCTCTTATGATGCCAGCTTGTTGGCATCGACCAATGATTTAATGTAGCCCCACAAAAAAGTCTAGAGGTTTTAAATCACACGATCTAGGCGGCCATTCGACAGGACCATTTCTCAATATAACAGGTTCACCGAATTTTTATTTCAATATGTCGATTGTTTCACCTGCTGTGTGGCTTGTGGCACCGCCTTGTTGAAACCACATATCATTAATGTCAAACCCATCCAATTGACCAAAAAACTAACGTTGCAACATGTCTCTGTAGCGATCTCCGTTGACTCTAACGTGACGGTCATTTTCATCAACGAAAAAAAAACGACCCAATGACCCCATCGGCATGTAAACCACACCACACAGTTATTTTTTGTGGATAATGTGGTGTTTCTTAAAGCACACGGGGATTTTTACCTGGCCAATAACGCATATTTTGTTTGTTGACGAAGCCGTTTAGCCAAAAATGCGTCTCATCACTGAATATGATTTTGCGATGAAATTGGTCATTTTCTTGCAACATTTCTAGAGCCCAATTCGAGAATGTACGTCGGATCATATCAACGAATGGCTTTAGTTCTTGAGTCAACTTGATCTTATAAGGGTGCAGGCCAAGATCTCTTTGCAAAATTCGTCATAGTGTGGTCTGAGCGATGCCCAGTTCTTGAGAACTCCGTGGAATCGACGTGTTCTGTACGTTTGCGATGGAAGCTTGAACGGCAGCAATATTTCCGGCACTTCGACCAACCCGTTGCCTCACTGGCACGGGAACATCCATCAGCGAATATGTGGACTCAAATTTTTTTACTAGACTATGAATAGCTTGTCTACTGGGACGAGAATTACGACCAAAAATTAGCGTTAACGCTCTTAAAGTTACCGACTCGGAATTTCGGTAGTAAATTTTAATTATTTGTAAGCGTTGTTCGTTCGTGTACTTCACCATGTTGAAAATGTTTTCTTTACCGATTGTTTTGACATTGATAGTTCGGTAATTGATTTAAAGGTGCGTTCACAGTGACAGTTCAAAATTGTCAAGTCCCTTTTGGAAACCCGATATAATGCTAATGCCTCTTTTAATCAGGCATTAGTTCCATCACCATTTACCCCCACTCAAAACAAACTCAATCGCTTATCCTTCAAATTCGCGCGCTCTTATTGGTCAGCATATCATAGGTGCTTGGGCAGACAGCAACAAGCAAATAGAAGTGCTTGTGTTTGTTTTGATGCAAGTAAAAGAAGTTTGAACAGACATTAGATTATGTGATGCCGCGCCTCTAGACCTTCCTTCCTTTGGACATGAGTAAAAAAGATTAAAAATTATTACTTGCGTTATTTGCCAAATACCACTCTAAACGCGCAAACACAAGAATTAGTATAATTATATATTTTTTTAGGACGAACCATTGTAGTTCATGCAGATCCTGATGATTTGGGAAAGGGAGGCCATGAGCTGAGCAAGACCACTGGTAATGCTGGGGCCAGAGTTGCTTGTGGCGTCATTGGTGTTGCAAAGCTTTAAAATATTGTATCTACATTTTCTTTCATTCCAGTAAAAATTCATCACTATTTCATTTTTGTTGTTTAAATTGGATTGGTTATTTTTTCTTTTATAAATAAGAAATTAAACTTTTAAAGAGATTGAGTTTTATTTAGGCTATAATAATAATAACTTATTGATGTTGATACACAATGGTGCCTATACAGGCCAGATTTGTAAAAAAACACAGAGAAAACAGGTAAGTAAAAATAGATGATAAAATTTGCATAGGTACACACATTTTTATCATATCACAGAGATCATCATTCATGAATTCCTCCACTGAGAAGAAAGCTTTTATAAATTTTTTATAGAAAATGTTAACATCCAATGATTTTACAACAGGTGGCAACTTATTAAAGAACTTGATTCCATAAAAGTTGGTGCCGTTTTGGCTTCTGATGGTGTTCTGCACTTTTGTTTCGAGTGTCATACTGATGTATTTGACCTTGGTAGTGTAGGTTATTTCTGGTGTATAACAGACAATTCAGGATATAGCTACATGGAAGAGTTAAAATCTTTAATTTGAGATATGTAGACAATGCACCGCCTTTGTACGGCAAAAACTTTGAATATGGGGAGAGTGTCGTCATATTAAAACCCCATTAGTCATTTTCGAATGAAACTATGGATGGTAACTTATACAGTAGCGGACAAAAGTGTGGAAACATTCTTAGTGATTTTTACTAAGTGCGCTAATTTTTTATTCTTTATGATTGACTATTTTTTCTCATATAGCTTGCTTACATTCTTGAGGATACAAATATCAATTTGTGTTTCTGTGGTTCTACAGACTACCATTAAAATACCTTCATATTATTTTATGACCGAAAATGAGACGACAACAGTATGGAAACATATTTTTTATTACAAAATTAAATACAATAACTCTATAAAAAGATTTAAAAAATACTCAACATTGCCTGACATCTGCTGCTCATAGAAGACACCAATTTTTTACAGACGTCTGTTGGGATATTTTGCCAAATATTTTTTACATAATCAAATAAACCGTTCCTATTTTTAAAAGTTTTTCTTGTCAGTTGACTTTTACACATGCTCCCAGAGATGTGCTATAGGGCTTAGGTCCGGGGATTGCCAAGGCCATGTAAGAACATTAACATTTTTTAGTCTCAACCAGTCCGTTACGAATTTTGAGGTATATGCTTGGGGTCATTATCTTGCAAGAATGTCTATCGTAAAGGCATGCCCTCTTCATCAAAAGGTAGCAATGTGTTCACTAAGAATATCCTTCTAAAGTTTTTGATCCGTTTTCCCAACAATTTTAACCATTGGACCCATTCCAGAATTAGAAAAACAGCCCCAAACCCTGACGTTGCATCCACCATGCTTAACTGTTGGCAACTAATACTTTTTGTCGAATCTTTCTCGTATTAGACGTCTCACATATGCCGTACCGTCAGGTCCAAACAAGTTAAATTTACTTTCATCATTGTTGCTCTTGTCGGAGTTATACGAGTTTTAACAAATTCAAGCCGAGCAATACGATTTTTTTTTAAATGAGAGGCTTTTGCACTAGACGCCTACCAAAAAGCACAAAATACACCAAGCGTCTTTGCACAGTACCGACAGAAAGATTCTCGACACCCTCTTCGTAGATTCTTTTGAAAATCTTTGTGGTTGGCATTCGAGGATCGTCATGGGACAAACGTTTAATGTATCGATCCAAAACATAATCGGTTTTTTTTCGGTCTTCTGCACCTGGGCCGCGTTTCTGTTGATCCGTATTCATGATATTTACTAATAATTTTCGAAATCGAACCTTTGTTCATTTTTAATCTTTGAGAAATGTCGACATTTCTGACACCAATTCTAAATAATTCAATTACTTTGTCTCTTGAATCCTTTGAAAATTCTTTTACTTTTGCCATTCTCATTCATATTTACCGCACGCAATATCAGATGCAGAACGAATAAATACGCCACAACAAACGTTTCCATACTTTTGTGGTTACAAAAACTGTAATTTTAGAAAATTTAGTTTGAGTATTGATAAGATAAACCTTGAATTGGTATGTGAGCCAAAGGTAGACTTTAATATTTATATTATATGTATGTTCCTTCTCAATTTAAATTTAGGTATATGAAATACTTCATAATAATGTTAATATTTGTTTCCAAACTTCCAAGACATTTTTAACTTTGTATGAAGGGATTATAGTTGGGCATAGGTTGGTGAAATTAACTTCGTTAGTTTATTTGGAAGCACTCAATATTCTTGGAGCTACTAACTGACATGTCTGATTGACCAAATAAATCTTCACAACATTTATTTAGTCAGCATCTCAAAAATGAGGATCACAATGTCCTCAGGTGATTTAAATCATAACTTTAGATCTTTCCTAAATTAATGCCAATTTTCTATGAAGCCACCAATATCATTCTTGGAATTGCATTGAATTATAAAATTAGCAGCATCATTAGTAATTGGTCAATAAAACAATGCCAAACAAAATATAAGTTTATTCAAAACAACAGATATAACTAAACGTCAACAATAAAGATACATAAAAGCAGTGTGATCATAGCTATGATTGTAAAGCATTCCTACCATACTATGTTTTAGCTATCTAGTTCTGTCAATGTGATACTTGGTCTTTGATATGGTGCATTTAATCCAGAGTACTGATTATAATGAGCTCTGTAGTTTGGATATCTCAATTGATTAGGATCAAAATTGATGTAATTGTTATAAACTGGTTGTGGTCTAGGTGTACCATAGACCAATTTAACTACCAAATGGTACAAGCCAAAAATAATTTTACCAAAGAAATTTAGTAAGCTAATAAACATTGGAGTAAAGGCTTTTATTAAGTTGGATAGCTCCCTCATGAATTTCAATAGATATTCTAATGTATAGTGGATAGCATTAAAACAATTACAAAATAAGACAGTCACAACAGCAATTAGGAATATTATGGCTTGCTTAAAATTTGTTATGGTAAGAACATCTTTATATATCAAATAAATATTTTCCATAAACCTGTATTGAAGATCATTCCAAATTGTAGTGAAGTCTGTTGAGACAACATCATGTCCTGCAGATGTATTACTCTCTGTGTATGGCCTCAAAGTTTCTACCTTCAACCTTATTTCATTATGTAGAAATTCTAACCTGCGGACTTTGTACCAATAGCTACCTAAAACTTCTTCAGGTAATACTACCCACAAATTGAACCCCTCTGGTGCCCCAATAGTCCCAGGTTCAGTTATGCCTATCCAGGGTCCTTTCAAGTAACATTCTTGAATGCGTTTTTTCAATTTTACTAATGTCTTTATGAACTGCTGTTCATTTAGTGATACCCGTATCACATGCCTGTAATCTTTTATAGATTCTACATAGCGCTTTTCTTGAAATGTCCCAACAAATATCAAATCACGAAGAATGGGTTTTGCAAACTTTTGAATATAACTTCTATCAAAAGGGTTGCTCGACTCTTCTGGCATCGTTGTGTTTCTTTATGACAGGTTCTTTCAAGAACTTCTCTATAGTAGGTCCTCCCCGGGCACAGCCAAAACAGGAGTTTTGAAAAAATCAAAATATTTTCATATGCTGGGGTGGCTTGCTTATCCTTATCACAAATATCACATCAAAAGTGACATTTGCCAATGTCACGACGCAGAGCATAGATTATCGAGGAGCTAACGCATACTGTTATACGAAACACGTATTTTTGTTTACCATTTCTGCAATGCAACTAAATGTGCTAATTCAGTGAAATCATATCCAATGGCGATTTTACGACACCAGCTTTGTAAGAACATCAAACGAAGTTTTAGCTGCATGAAGAAAAATGCCAGGTAGACATTTCTTTGACAAGAACTAATCTGCATTGATGTACAGCCTATTTCACGAGTATCCATCATGCTTTGACGTCTACTCAGGTGAACAGCTAGAGACATTTTTGTGTTAGTCTGCAGCGTTGGCTATAATGAATCGGGTGTAAATCTATGCAAATGAACTTTTCTAAATAGAAGAGGGTCTTGTAGAACTTCGGATTTCACTGTTTTTTCACTTGAAACTTATAGAGGGTAGTTGATTATTTTAAAACAAAAAACGTGCGGATGAAGCACACTCTTCATGGAAATTTTTTCACAAAATACTATTTTTAGCAGTTGCAACAAAATATAAGAGTAGTAAACTAAAAAACAATTGTAAATAAATATATAAACAGTAAAACAAGAAACAATTCCATGTAATTATAAAAAACAACAAACAGTAAAATAAAAAGCAATTCTAAGTGATAACAAAAGATAAAAACAGTAGTAAAACAAAAAAACAACTTCATGTAATTATAAAAAACAACAAACAGTAAAATAAAAAGCAATTCCAAGCGATAACAAAAAACAACAAGTGCCCTCCGATTTCGTTAGTGCAAGCTCCTGTCACCAGATCAACAAAATTCAAGTTCATCGTCTTACGAATGTCAGGGGAAACCCCTCCTAGGTTCCCCAGGCGGTCGTAGCTGACCCAACCGACCGTCCAGATTTCTGTTCTCGGCTTAACAAATTTTAGGATTCCACTCTCAAGCGTACTCCCATTCCTATTGGGAACATAATGTGCCCACGTTTCGTGGAGACATAGAAAGGGCCCAGTACCCACTGCTCCCTTCGAGGAAGACGGCCTACGATGTACTTTCGTTTCACTATAAGAGATTCGTCGGCTTGGACGATACATTCATCTCCTGCTATTAATTACTTGCAAACCGAGCAGGTCGGTTTGAGTATTCATAGCACAGGTTCGCAAAAAATTCATTCAGCGATAGAATTGGGCTTACAGGAGATTTCAATACTTGTCATTATTCAACGAGTAAAAACGCTTTGAACTTCGCAAGTAATTGCAAGAAAACTGTCTGATATTTGAAAGTAATTTCGCCACAGCACTGTGGCAACACTGTTTACAATATTTTATGATGATTCCCTCGTTCTGGCAATGTGGGTTTTATACTTCCTGCCAATTTTGTATAACTATACAGGGTGTCCGCAAAGTTGGGGTTTTCCTTTTCAGAAACAACTACCCTTGAAATAACAAAGGTAATGTGTAGTGAAACGAGGGCGACCAAGTAAAAAAAATAAAGAAAAAAGTACTCACTCTCCAGTTGACGAGAAGGGCTAAGTACGTCCCTGCCCGAAATCATACCGCTCCAACAGAAAATGAAATCAGCTGATGCGCTACCGAGCAGACGCCGGCGGTGGTGCAGACCAGTAGACCACGAACAGAGGGAACAAATATGACCATCGTGCAGAAACCACATTGATTGTCTTACACTTAATGGCACATCTTCTAACAAGGAAGGCAAAATGTTGCGTAAAAAGTCTAGGTATTGCATCCCATCCAATCGATTTGGGAGAATAAATGGTCCAATGAGCATACCGTTCACCATGCCAGCCCAAAGATTCACCGAAAATGTTTGTTGAAAATGTGCCCGACGGACAGCGTGCGGATTTTCTAATGACCAAACATGAGTGTTGCGAAAGTTATTCACCCCATTACGCGTGAACGTAGATTCGTCTGTCACCAATATGCACTTCAAAAAGTTCGGATTATTGTCATGTTGATGGAACAACCACTCACAAAACCGCACTCTTGCTGGAAGATCGTCAGGTTGATGGGCTTGTACACGTTGGACGTGAAACGGATACAGCCCCTCTCCACGCAGCGTTTGTCACACTTTAGTTTTTGATACTTGCACTTCTCTAGCCACGTCTCTAGTGCTTCTTGTTTTTTGACACGCAATCGATTATACGAGTTCGTTTACCTCTACACGCGTGACCGTAACCGTCGGTTGAAGGTTGCATACTGACCTGACACACTGACCCCGACCCCCGACCCAGTTCTGTCGTCGGGTTGAGCTAGTGCCCTAGTACCAGTTGGGGATGTCGCGAGTCGCGGCTACAGGACGGTATTCAGATATTTTTGATGTTGCAGAGCCCTTTATCTCGGTTCCCTTAAGACATTGGTGTATATGGTACTAAGAAAAATTGCTTATGTTTTCAAGATCTACACGTCGTGTAAAGGAAAACCCCAACTTTGCGGACATCCTGTATATCTATTCTACTCTATTTTATATTAAACGTTAAACGAATTTGTTTTATTTAGTCGCCTAAAAATGAGTTCAATCCAATGGTGCGACATTACGAACATTATTGAAATGACAGATGAAGAGTTGTTGCAGTACCTGCCTACCTGCAATTTGAGTGGCGGATATGGAGATAATTCCGTTCAGTGTATATGTATATATTCAGTTCCGCTGCCCCCGTAGGAATTGCAGAAGGGTATACAGCATACAGAAAAGATCAGATTACTCGTTGGGAGATTGTTCTCGTTGCCTGACATGGAAATCCCAATACTCGATATTAAGTGGATCCTATTCTGCCAACATGTGTTAAAATATTAGGCAAGTAATCCATTTACTGTGGCTATGACTGTGTGCCAAATGTCCTTCTCTAGGGACATTTGTTCCTGGAAGCTTTTGTGGCATCCCGATTTATTTTCATTTGGTAAGTGTAAAAAAAGTACTCTGTTTTTTGTTAGCCAGTTAATTCATACTTTTTCAACAACCGACCTAAAAGTACAAGTGCGTCCTCGTGAATCCTTATAAATTTTAAAAGTAATCAGCGACCTCATTTTTCTCATTTTTTACAGCGGTAGTAGATAAAATATGTGCAAACTACTTGCGCTGCTTTCGAACTATTTTGTATTGAGATCGCATAGTACTGATTTGTCGCTTGAGAGTTAGATTTGAGCGATCGAGAAATATATAGATAATATAAAACCAGAAAATTGAAATTGCTAATCGTTCGTTACTTTTTATTAGGAGATGGATCTATCATCCAAATCGATTAATCTGTTATAGTGAAATGAAAGTACAATGTAGGCCGGCTTCCTCGAAGGGAACAGTGGGTCCTGGGCCTTTTCGATGTCCACACAAAATGTGGGCATATTATTTATGTTCCCAATAGGAATGAGAGTGAAAGTCCTAAATTTTTTCAAGGCAGGAACAGAAATCTGGACGGACAGTTGGGCCGGCCACAATCGCCTGGGGAACCTAGGAGCAGTTTCCCCCAATATCCATAAAACGGTGAACCACGCACTAATGTAATCGACGGACACTGGTCTAGATTAAAGCAATTTTTGAGGGGGCTGGCTGTCATGCAGTCGCCTCATTTACCCGAATATATTGACCAATTCATTTGGTGGAGGATCTATGGTCTTAGACCCGGAGACCGATTCCAAAATATATTGCGACGAAATATACATTTTAATATTGAATATTTTCTGTTAATTATAGTTTTCTTTTTGCTTCTGTATATATTTTTTGCTGTGATGTCATTTATCTTGTGATATAATTTTAGTGATTTTTTGTTATCACTTAGAATTGCATTTTATTTTAATGTTTTCTGTCTTTTGTTTTTTATAATTACTTGGAATTGTTTCTTCTTTTACTGTTTTTATAATTATTTACAATTGTTTTTTAGTTTACTACTGTTTTATTTTGTTTTATAATTATTAGGAATCGCCTTTTATTTTGCTTCTGTTGTTTCTTTCAGTTTTTCGCTTTTGTGTTTCATTAATATATGTATATAAACTTTCCACTTTTCATATTTTTCCCTAAATGCGGAGCCCAACCCGGCAACACCGCAGCAAGCGCCTCTCATATGCACAGACGTCAACGCCATATGGCAGATGGTGGTGCTGTAGAAATACCTGCTAAAAATACAGTATTTTGTGAACAATTTTCCATAAAAAGCGTGCTTCATCCACACGTTTTTTGTTTTACAATAACCTATCAGACTACCCTCTAGAAGTTTCAAGTGAAAAAACAATGAAATCCAAAGTCCTATAAGACGCAACAGTACCTAAAACAGCTTTTAGCAAGTACAAAATGAATCTGTAGTGTACAAAAAAACAATATGGCTCTGTCTACCTGCGGTTGACGGATCTAACAGAATTGTGTCCTTTGCCGATTTGGGGAATTTTGAAATATTACTAGATAACCACCGTGATGGATACTCATGAAATAGGGTATACATTTGTCTGTTTTCTTTTGTTGACAAGTTGACATACACTTGTCATTATTTTTTAGAGGTTATGTTTTCATTTTTTTAAATATATTTACATTTATACTTTTGTAAATGCAACAATAGTCGAAGAATTCAAGAAATGTATTTAGTACATTAATAATGTATGCCATTTGATAGGATTTGGCTAATGTTCAACTACACAAGTGTTAAGTCTAAAAATGTCTGCATTATCGGAAGTGAACTTGAAACAGGGACTAAGAAAGTTGGAATATCCTTTATGTGCCAAAGAAGCTCTGAATAAGATTGGTTTGTACAAGGGTTACCTCTTTATGAAACCTATTTCTAACCAAACTTTGTTGTAGTGGAACTAATATGCGGCCGTATTACAAGTATAAAAAACATGGACCTAGCATTAGATTTAATGGCAGAATTTATATTTTGCGAGGTAGATAGAAGGGGTCATAAGAAGCAACAGTCCTTGTCACCACTTCTAGAACTGCAGCTGATTGAGATTTCCCATAATTTTTTCAATAGTATACAGAGTGAAACTGCCAGAAATACAGTGTTTCTATCCTTATTTAGTGGCACAACAGTCACAGTACGCTTGGGGATACTAAGTAGATTGGTATCTGTAGCAGTAGGAATCCCTTCATCTACAATACTCACGGCCACAAGTGTATGGATGCAGCAGTTAGGAAATGCTTCACCAAACAGTTGCAAATTAAGTGAAGCTCTTATACAAGATTATTTTTTTTATTACCAAAATTCAACAGAAAGGCTAAAATCTCTGCCTTCGGTGTGTCCACAATTTGTAGCAAATTTTTTGACTGCAGTTTCTGAAATCTACTTCAGTACCAGTAAGAAAGAGCTGCAGTTTCCTCCAAAAATTCTTCTAGAAACAATAACTTCCTGGGTAAGTAAAACCTGTATTTATGATTCTAAGGTTAGCAACCTAAGAAAAGTTTAGAGGGGTGGGGAAACTCATATATAATTAATCTTGAATGTCCAAGTTCAACCTTAGAAGCTACCACGAGGCTACATCTAATAGTAAAATTATGCATGATATTAGCTTTTTTATACCCTATGGTACATACAGGGTGGCCAAACACGTGACGTCATAAAAAAAAAATTAGATTCCCCACATCGAGAGGAACCCAAATCACCCCCATATATATGGTCCGATTTTGTTTAGTTTAGGAGTTATGATTTTTTTTCGGATTTTTCGAGAATTTTTGAGTTCTGTGTTTATTTTTACCATAACTTCGTTAATAATTGTGATAAATGCCTGCTTTTTTCACGATTATGTAGCTAAGACCTAAGGCTTAACTATCATATAATCATTCAAGTCATGTAACTAATACTACTTTTTAATTTTTTTCAAAATCTTCGAACATAACAAAAAAGTAAAAAAGTGCAACAACTTTGAACGTTTATAAAAAATTGAAAAAACATGTTCTTACTATTCGTAAGTATCTTAAAAACTTCCTTACGGTATCAGCTATTTACCGTAAAAATTTCATCAACCTAGCTTTACTACATGCTACCGTAATTGTGGCTCAAATAGAACCGAACCCAAAATTGGATAACCCTCTGCTCAATAGAAATTGTTAGTTTCGGAAAAAAAATTTGCAAAAACCACAAAAACACGTTTGATTTTTACTGAACAGCAGATTATTATTCATTTATGTTATTTACAAGAGGTTTTCAAAATGTCTGCCTCTAACAGAAATGCACAGTGTACACCTACGTATGAAATTTTGTTTTAAATCTCTAAATGCTTGTGTGTTGTTTTTCAACACATGTGTCGCTTCTTGAATTTTGTTCCTCAATGAATTTTCATTTGCACATTCTTGGGCGAATGTTATGTCTTTAAAATATCCCCAAACAAAAAAATCAATGGGGTTGAGGTCAGGGGAGCGTGGAGGCCATCGTATCGGTCCGTTTCGTCCGATCCATCTGTCTGGGAACCTTTCGTTTAAGTAGTTTCGCACGATCGTTGCGTTGTGGCATGGTGCACCATCATTCTGGAACACCATGTTCCGTCTGGCTTCCAGGCTTGAATCTTCCAGCAATAATGGTAGGCTATTTTCAAGGAAGCTTTTGTAGGCTACCGAATCCAACCTTGACGGCAGTTCAAATGGACCGATAAATTCCATATTGAATATTCTTGACCACATGTTCACACTAAAACGGTGTTGAAATGTCGACGGCCTTGACTGGTGGGGGTTTTCAACAGCCCAAGTATGTAAATTATGGATATTGAATATCCCTGTTCTTTCAAAACGTGACTCGTCAGTCCATAAAATTTTATCAAAAAAATCGGGATCCTCTCGTTGTCTTCGCAGCATTGTCTCGCAGAAATCCACTCTTAACTGGTAATCTGAAGGCATCAACGCTTGAACTCTTTGAACATGATAGGCATGATAACCTTCTTCATGAAGAATATTTTGTATCGATGTTCGTGGTATTCTAAGGTTTTGTGCCATAGATCTCGTACTCGTTGAGGGATTCCGGCTAATTTCTTCAAGTACTACTTCTCTGCGATCCGGATCAGCTGTAGGATATCCTTCATTGCTTCCTCGTCCTGGAATGCGGCCTGCCATGAAAGTGTTATGTGTGTTAATAAAAACACGGTGGTCTGGGTAATGCTCAGGTTGTGGTCCGCCTCGGCGTATAAGTTGTTCCCGGTACAGCTGAGCTGCTAAAGCGCCGTTGCAATAGCCTACCATTATTGCTGGAAGATTCAAGCCTGGAAGCCAGACGGAACATGGTGTTCCAGAATGATGGTGCACCATGCCACAACGCAACGATCGTGCGAAACTACTTAAACGAAAGGTTCCCAGACAGATGGATCGGACGAAACGGACCGATACGATGGCCTCCACGCTCCCCTGACCTCAACCCCATTGATTTTTTTGTTTGGGGATATTTTAAAGACATAACATTCGCCCAAGAATGTGCAAATGAAAATTCATTGAGGAACAAAATTCAAGAAGCGACACATGTGTTGAAAAACAACACACAAGCATTTAGAGATTTAAAACAAAATTTCATACGTAGGTGTACACTGTGCATTTCTGTTAGAGGCAGACATTTTGAAAACCTCTTGTAAATAACATAAATGAATAATAATCTGCTGTTCAGTAAAAATCAAACGTGTTTTTGTGGTTTTTGCAAATTTTTTTTCCGAAACTAACAATTTCTATTGAGCAGAGGGTTATCCAATTTTGGGTTCGGTTCTATTTGAGCCACAATTACGGTAGCATGTAGTAAAGCTAGGTTGATGAAATTTTTACGGTAAATAACTGATACCGTAAGGAAGTTTTTAAGATACTTACGAATAGTAAGAACATGTTTTTTCAATTTTTTATAAACGTTCAAAGTTGTTGCACTTGTTTACTTTTTTGTTATGTTCGAAGATTTTGAAAAAAATTAAAAAGTAGTATTAGTTACATGACTTGAATGATTATATGATAGTTAAGCCTTAGGTCTTACCTACATAATCGTGAAAAAAGCGGGCATTTATCACAATTATTAACGAAGTTATGGTAAAAATAAACACAGAACTCAAAAATTCTCGAAAAATCCGAAAAAAAATCATAACTCCTAAACTAAACAAAATCGGACCATATATATGGGGGTGATTTGGGTTCCTCTCGATGTGGGGAATCTAATTTTTTCTTATGACGTCACGTGTTTGGCCACCCTGTATATATCTTTCTGAAAAAAGTATTTTTATTGGTTTGTAGATAGTTGGAAATAGCAACCTATGTATAGCAGCCCAACTTAAGCAAGCTATATTGCCACCAGGTGCTATTGCAATGGAGGCAATAACTCCCATAGCTGGCCTTTTAAAATGGTGCATTTTGGCGCCAATTTTTAAACAAAATGATGAAATATATGCACAACTACACTTGGCCTTGCTCAACAGTGCTGTTGATGGTCCTGGCAAAACTTCATCTAAAGTGAGTATGGATAGTATTTTTTCATTCTTTCGAGGTTCCATCAAATTACAGAAAGGCACATTTTTGCCATCAAAAGCAACATTTCAGCCACACAACTTCAATTCAATCTTGAGTTGCATCATTTTTGCATTCTCATTATTGATTGCTAATTACAAACCTTGAATGAAAGAAAAGCATGAATGCATCTATTCTACCTGAAAATAGCCATCTATATATTCCAGCCCCCAAAAAGAGATCTAATAGATCCAAGCGCCATCTAAGATCTAAGAGACAGTAGCTGAAAAAAATGTAGAGATCTACCTAGGAAAGAGTTGAAAGTGTTTGGTTCTACTATATTTCATAGATGGTGCTAGAATCATTCAGATCCCTTTCTGGGCGCCTGAATACACTATATGGTTGGCTACATTCAGGTAGAGTATACTAGTCAATGTTATAAGTAATGTAAACACAAATGAGATCTAGGCAGATCAATCAATCAACATTTGTGGTACTTTTTATTTACCAGATACGCACGTGATTTTGACAAATTCTGCAATGCTGTTTCTCCTTTCCACAATAATTAGAAATTTACTTTGAAAAGGTTAGTATCTCATAGTTGGCGCTGTGGTTATGTGCTCACATACAGTTGGCTTCAGCACTATCTATGAGATACTAACCTTTTCAAAGTGCACTTCTAATTATTGCTGTGACAAATTCTCAGAGATAACAGATAATTTTTCCGACGCGCAAATATAGAATTAGGTTGGTTCTCTTCAGGTGGAATATGTTAATCAATGCCAATATATAACAAATATAACGAGCTATGAACCACCTGCGAAAAGTAACGCGAACACATTTCTTTGAGTCTGGTGATCAGTTATACACTATTAACTTGCGTATCACACTTCTTGTATCAACAGTAGCTCTCTTGGAAGATTTTTATCACAGTAGCTCGAACTATCCCTTCAAGAAACATAAAAACTCGATGGAGAAGTACTTTTTTCGGATTATCAATAATTTTTTGAGGATGCGATCGGCACGTTAGCTGAAGTGTCACAATGTCATCCACAGATGACAATGTTACTCCTCAAACGTATCCAGCGACTTTAATGTTGACAGGACTCTATTGGAATTATACTTGAAAAAGGCCTCCATGGTGGCAGAGACATCATACAGGTGTCATACAGTAAGTAATTAAAACGTATGTGGTTTGATTTAACGGCAGACAATGAAGTCCTACCACAAACGTCATCCTTCATCAACTGATGGGCAACTCCAAAGGTTTGTTCATATTCATATAGTGGTTGGTGACTGTATCCGAGTGAATCCTGCTTACATAGCGTAGCAGAATGAAAATTCGTGTGAGGGATTTTGGACGCGGTCACTGATAGGTCGGCACATTTTGATCACCAAATAAAATAAACAAACGATGAACCATGAGAATGACAAGTGACAACTGTTATTCCCAAGGTTTTGAGCTCGGGAAGAAAAGCACATTTTTCACGTTCCAGAAGGATTACTTTGTTCTATTTCCGAGCGCATGTAACAGGTACGTCAAACAATTACGAACGTTAAATTTGTTACAGAGTAGTACAAAGTACACTCTTGGACAATTTACGAACGCACCCCTGTTCAAGCATGACTCAAATCGACTAACGACGGTAGTTCCAGAACCATTAAGCGAATGTTCGGGTTTTCATCGCTTTGACGTATAGATGTGCTGAATCGAGTTGAGATCCTCAGTTGCTTTCGATAAAAACGGTCTATTACAGAATGACACTATTTTTTGAAACATATTTCTCAAAAAAACATATTTTTTAGGTTGTTTATGTATATGCACCACACCTTTCATCTGCAATCAATTATCCTATTCTGGGTTATGTGCAAGAACTGAAAAATAGACACGATCTAAAATTGGACAAGATTCTCAATGAGAATGCCTTACAACTGTCCTTAGACAGGTATGCTCAAGCTATACAAGTTCTGACATCATCTAATGCAGTACATGGACATATTGATGATTTGTTCTATCAGTTGAAGATGTTGCCTTTCAACAAATTAATGAAGATTGTGATTGATAACTACAAACAGAGTAAAGTGATTGTTCTATATTTGGTTGTTTTATTTCACAAACATAACAATGTTATTTTGTTCCGACTGATCAATGTGCCTGCCAGGCAGATACGAGGGATCCTTTGCAGAGAGGGGTGTTGAGATTGTGGAACAATCTACAAGAGGAAATTCTACTAACCTTAGGCAGTTCAAAAATCGGATTAACAAAATTTCTTTTTGATCCTCATAGCAGCCGCGTGTCCGGACATTAAGGCTTGTGCCTGCGCGCGCTGCTACGGTATTAAAAAAAATGTATTATTGAAATGAGTGAATATCTATAGCTTTTTTTAAAATAGATAAGAATATTCAATTTAGTGTTAAAAACTGATCCCTTCTAAGTCCTGTACATGTGAAGCTAGAAGAGGCTTTACCAGAGACCACGCCTATATTCCACTATCAGGCAGACGCTATACACTTTGCTCCTGACAAATACATGGAAATAAAAATCAAGATATCCATATTTCTATAGATGATGTTTTTATTTGAGAAGGGGGCCATTATACCGTCTACTCAAAACACTTTGAGGGGTAAGTTACACGTTTTATTTTAATGATCACAAAATATATTGTTCTTTTAAAGTATCTGCACATATATTCCAGCAACAACACATCTAGATCCATGGTATGTGTCCTGTATAAGGGCCATAACGTCGTCCTAGAATTGGAGGACGCCTTTATGGCCTCTTTCATGGTGTGCGTGTCAGCGCTCTATTTTGAGGGTAGGTCCCAAATATCTATTTACATCAAATTGTTCATTCTTCTGATTTATATCATCTTGAAATTTTCTACAAGTCAGAAAAAAACATAACTTCACAATAGGACAGCGCCGACATGGAACATTAGAAATCTAGAAATACCCCAGCCTTTCTGAAAGGCCATAAAGGCGCTCTACAATCGTAGGACCGACTGACGATACGGCCCTAAAACAAAGAAGCTAGAAGCATGATGTGTGCCCCAAAATAGACACGTCATGTCTCTTAAACATCTCAATATAGAGTTAAAGCCAAGAATTTTTCATTTTTTGAAGCACACATTTTGTATTTATAAATCTACAAAACTTTTTATTTACAATAACACAGGAATAGTGGTAATACACACACAAATCCAAAATGTTATATTTATATTTATTTTATCAAACAATTATTGTGAGTTAACTTACATCATTATTAAATAAAATAGTGTACAGGTAGAACTTAAGCAGCCCTAACAAAAACAGTCTGCAAATTTTTTATTCATATTTACTTTTGTTTGTACATTTGATAGTAGTTACCTTTTGAAGTAAGCTGTATTTTTAGGACAAAAAATATTGGAAAAAACAACAATTTGTTCAAGCCTTAGTTGATCTTGAAGAGATTTTTTTTTGTTTAATGCTGTGCCCAGTACATGTAAAAAATTTTGAACTATTGTTCCATATAGGTTTTCTATCATGAACATAATTTCAACATCATGTGTCTCTGCAAATGGAAATGTTAACAGCTATTTAGAAACAGGCCCTTATGCAATATAAAGCTGAACTGAAGAAAACTATTTTAAAGCACCAAATTAATTTGTAACAACTACTGACTTAAAAAAGCTAGAATACATAAATAGCTCAAAAAAAAAAATTCAAAAGGTAATTACCAAATACCCAAACACCTTAGCCATATAGCCTATTGTACATAAGCTACATCTCATACTATAAAAAGTCGCAGCCAGCTGAGAAATGGGTGGGTGTATAATCGGGGCCCCATTCTAGAGCAGACTGCATGAGAGCTGGGGGGCCACAGGCGGAGCCCTCGTTGCAGGGGGCACAGTGCTACTGCTGCTGTTGCTATGGGCCGACTGCCAGCCCGGCGGCTAAAAGCAACTGCCTTCAGGGGGCTGAGCGAGTTTCATGTTCTCCTTCAGTGTCATCAGCCTGCGCAACTCCTGCAGCACTGTCTTTATGGTGTAGTCTCGTTGCCATCTGGCTAGCACAGGCACCTGTCTGTTGTCTACCTGTAAATCAACGAAAATTATCCATCAATCCTTGGCATTGTGTTAAATGATAAACATTCTGAAATACAGCCCAAATATTTCGGATGTTCTCTAACGTCTCGATTTTGATCCTTGATAAAAAATTTGATGTTGAGCTTGAGTGCATTCATACTTGCTATTGCACATATTTGACCGTGAGGTATGACATCAAGTAAGCCAAGGCTGAATATTTTCAAGTAGCGATCAAATGCTCAAGTTCAATACCAGCAACTTAAGCCCAGATTTGTCATTCCGACTCAGAACACACAAATGTTTGTTAGGTTTCGTACCATTTTTGGGTAAAGTTAAGTCCTTAGAGATCAAAGCATCTCAAAGATTCCAAAACAAATAATCTAGTGAGATCAAAACCAAATAAGTATGAAGTTAACTTAGAGACCTAAGGTACTCAGGATATGAGTGAGGTAATATTTTTAATATTGAGGATGTACAATTCTACTATAACATATACAGGGTTATCCAAATTAAGTGTCCACCATTAGTAACTTTGTTATTAGTGAAAATACAAAGTTGTTTGAATTAGCAAACTAGTAGCATTTTTAACGCTGGTAAAAATGAGAAATAAAAACAAAAAAAATGAGAGTCGGTATTTTGATTTTTTTCAGTAAAATAACATTTTTTTAAATGGAAACCCCTGTATATTATATTTTTTTCTGTTAAAGCATCAAATTTTAAACAAAAAAGTTCATAATGACTTTTCCGCTAAAGTCAAAAATAAAGTCAAAATAACGATAAATATTTTTAATTATTTGCAGTATTATAATATTAAGACGGCTATGAAAACAACATGGCGTTCGCGATTTGACAGCATTAAGATAAGCGACAAATTGTTAAACTGGACATACTCGCAACTAGAAGGCTTTGGAAAACAATGATAAAATCAAATAATGTCAAACATTAGTGTAAATACTTGTTTATAAGCTTTATTGTGTCATTAATTTAAAGAAAAATGTTCTCCCATGAAGAAAAGTGTGATATGTTAGAATGCTATTTAGTGTGCAAAAAATCCTCCTTGAGAGAAAATCCTACAGTGAATTATATCCCGCTCGCATTCAACCGTATGAACGATATTTTCTGAGACTTTATCGAAAATTTAGGGGCAACGAAAATGTTTTTGCTAAAACAAGGGCAAAAAAAGAATTCATAATAAGCGAGGCCACGGAAATTGCAGTTATTGGATATTTTGAAGCTTATCGTGAGAATTCAATAGCAGATATTCTCAAGGACTCTAATTTCAGTTATGGTACTGTTCAAAGGATTTTAAAAAAATACAAATTTATTCCGTATAAGTACCGACCAGTTCAAACGTTTTTGGCAGGGGATCCAGAGAGAAGACTTGTTTTTTGCCATTGGTATCTTAGCTTCTGTCGCCAAAATGTAAATAACTTTCGTTACCTTTTATGGACAGATGAATCAAATTTTTCAAATTCTGGAATGTTTAATAGAAAAAACCACCATTATTGGTCAAGAGAAAATCTTTTGTTAGTACATCCAAGAGGCCGACAAGTCCGTTTCAGTTTCAAATACATACATAATGATAGATGGGATGAATTGAAAAATATTGAAATTAACAAAATCAAAAAACATGGACAGTATCGACAATAAACATGTTTATACAAATATTGGCTAATGATGAAAAATAGAAAAAACAGGAATAAGCATTATATAGATAACAGAAAAAACATCATTAGGTAGTTTTGCAATAATTTTACTTACCACACCATTGTTGCTGTTGATACAATTAATATTTATTCTAGATATGAACTTTGCTGTTGGGGCTTCATCGGGGTACCTCTGGCCACATTCTACTTTCACAGAATACATCCTATTCTCGTAAGGGGTCCTAGGGGGCCCAATTATCATACCCATCCAATGTGTGAGAGTCATGTCATCGTCGTTTTCTAGACCCCAGCTGATGGTTCCATCAGAGACGCCTTTTTGTCCAGCCTCAAGTTCTTCCAGTAGTCTGAAGTTACGTGGTACGACTAAAATGATTATATCAATGGACTTAGCGATCAAATGGATACTTAACGCTTAAAATATCTTAGGAAATATTTGCTCAACTCACCTACACCGGTTGATGATGGAGCCGCCATATTATAGTGCGGTTCCCGAGTTTATCTACGGAAAATATAGGATATCTCAAAAATAAACGGGACGTTTAGCACTTGATGGTTTTCTGACCGTCAGTAAATTTTTAAAGAACTGTCTGTATTTGCAATATAGCTAAAGTCTACAGTATTTTCAACAAATTCATGTGAATTTTATTAGTTTTGCTGTAAAATTGGTAATCCACAAATGACACAACACACAAATCACATCAGACGTCACGAAACAATCCGTCCATCCTCTAGTTGACAGTCTGTGGAAACTGTCATGCTTGACAACTGTCTGTCACAGACCTCGGATTTCTTTTCTCTGTACGGAACGAGTCGGTGGCTTTGTTATATTTTTTTTTAAAATTTTGATGCAAGTCCACACAATTTTCAAAAATACTCAGCGCATCCAAAACGAAATGAAAATATATCTCTGATGTAGTCAAAACAATGGAAATTACCACATGTTCGCTTGTTTTCAAAGCTCCACACGTTTTTGAGAAATCATGTTTTTTTAGTGCACTTGTTTTGCTGCTTCCTTATTATCTTCCTTATTTCGATTTTGCGCAGTAGCCACTAGCCAGTCAATTCTCTCTTATCTTTTATACAAATATTCAGGGCTATTGCCGGCACTGACTTGCGCAGTTTGTGATGCAATTGGCGTTTGTAATACTGACGTGTATTTTCAGGGGTGCGTTTGTAAATCACTTAGTAACGTAATACCGTACACAGTGTTGAAATGTCGAATCACAGATGAAATCCGTCTCTGGAATACAGTGTCACTTTATTTTCAGAACTAGCTTAGCTACACCAGCTGTTTTTGATGAAGAAATGATGAGTCCTAGTTTTTGGGTGTAGATGAAAGAAATGGGACTGAAAATGAGCGCAAATATAAAAGTTCAGAAATATTTGGCTATATAATGGGATTTTATTGAATTTGTTTTCATAGGTTGTGCGATTTTGCCAGACTTCAATACTTCATAGGTTTTCGCGTTGATCGATATTTTCAATAATTAAATTTGTATGTGTGACTTCGAACTTTACAGTCCTACATAACGTCAAATGCACTATCAGCACAGTCATGCGCGCTACAACTCAAAGGGTAAGGAATTCAGGAGTAAGTTGTCGATTCTCGTTACTTTCGAGTATTCATTACTAATCTTCTACAAAGTAATCATTTATTGTATTCGTTACTTTGATTAGTATGAATGACTATAACGATTTGGCAACATAAGTCGAATTTTAACTACTTCAATGGAAAGTCTATATTAATTATGTTTAATTATGCTTTAGTTTGGTAAATAAACAACCTTAAAATTTGCAATGTTTTTAATCATAATATATTCAAATCTGCGGTGCTTAATGCAAACATGGTACCTGAAAATACTTTATGTTCACTAGAAATGCTCAAAGGCAGTAGTTAGAAAGTTGATCTATATATAGACTTGAGGAAATTCGGAATAGCAAGTAACTTTTTGAAGCTGTGGCCATTTCAATTATGCATCTACCAGTATAAAAAATTCTATGTGCAGCTTAATCTACTCTACACACACCACCCGAATGTAAGGTGTCAACCCGGAAGCAAGATGTATGAGTGGCAGTGCTACAGTAATACCTAAGATGGCAGAAACCAGCATTGCCACTCAATGATCAACGATTATACGGGCACGGAAAACTGGGTAATCATTTGGTGCTCGGATTGTTAATAGTTACTTCGGGTACCTATGAGTAACGAGTACTCGAATAACGAATCGTTTCTTTTTCAACACCTCTAAAAAGGACAGCTGCTACGCATGGAAATCCGTATTTTCGTTAATTTTCTTTTATTTCTTTAATATGGCAACGTTTTGTATGAATAGGAACCGTTCCAATATGCAAATGTCATGATTAAGGTGTTTATACCCTTTAAAATCCAGATACTGGTAATATCAACAATATTCTGCAACCAACCCATTTGGGGGCATTTTTAATCTCATTTCCATCATTTACAATCCGAACCTAGTATCTATTCGGATGGAGAAACATAAAAGGCTGGTGTAGTTAAGCTAGATAATTACCTCTTATTTTGAGAACGCCTAAATTATTACCGAGGCCAAGGCATGTAATGGCACTTGATGATAGCCCACTAATTTCTAATTGCTTTTTCAACGACCATTTTTTATTATAAGTCACGCTATAGATACGTGGTAGCCCATTTATCGTGAAAAATATACTGCCAATTTTGATAACCAAATAAAGTAAACAATCAACCATAATTATGTGCCATAGTAATGGCAAGTGACAACACTCTTATTACCAAAACTTTGAGCATGGGAAGAAAAGTGCACTTTTGACGTTCCAGAAGAATTTTTGAACGCGTGGAAAGGTGAATTGACTTTACTTCTACTCATAAGAGTAGGCCGGAGGACTTTTTCCCAAAAATTACTGCGGTTCTAACTGGCAGAAAAACGAATCTCTTTAACAAAGAAAGCTGAAGATAGATAAATAAATATAATAAAATTATATGAAAAAAGCAGTTAATGCAAACAAATAAAGAATAAATATGATCAAATTGTTAAAAAAGTGCTAATCTAGGTCTTTCTTGATTTGCCATGGTTTCTGCAAAGATTTCAGCTTTTTCTCCATTTTTGTAAAAACAAGACACTTTTGGCCGTTTATAGTAGGAAGCTTTTATTTGGTGCCGTGTCTTATTATCTGTAGAGCGGCAGGCCAGACTGTAACATGTCTTCTGGCAAGTTATTCCACTGATCGTTTATTATGTCCAAATATAGCATTTCTGGCACAATGAATTAGGTTGTTAGCTATTCTGATATCATCAGGGTGCTAGTTGCTTTAACTTTTTTGATATCACTGCATTTTTTGCTAATAAGATCAGCAACGTCTGATGGTAAATGTGGCCTAAATTGATTATTGGTATTTTAAAATTATCGCCTGGATTTAAATGAGTCTCTTGTAAGAGTGCACTGTCTATATTTAACTCAGTCGATGTGACTGCTAATTCGTGATTTTTTTAGATTTCTTTTATGCCACTTGCGTTCCAAGAAGGAATGTTGTTGAATTCAGGTTGTCTCTTATCACTATTATTCATTTATAGTAAGGAGCGGATGTGAGGACGAGGGGATGAGTTTTTGTAATGCTTCCATTATAGAAAATTTGTTGGATTGCAGCTATAGCCACTATTAAATCAATTTGGTTAGAACATCCTTCTGATCGTCGATGAATAAATGATGAATAAACTTGTTTGTGACGTTTTGTTTTTTGTATGCAAATCAAGTATTCTAAATAAAAGAGCTGTAAGCAAGTACAAAATGAATCTGTAGCCTACAAAAAACCAAAACAAAAAACGGCTTTGACTACCTGGAGTTGACAGATCAATCAGAATTATGTGCCCTGTGCCAATATGGGGAATTTTGAGATAATACTAGATAATCAGCTATCACTCTACTGATAGTACGTTCAGAGTTATTATTTATTTAATCGTTTTTGTTAGTTATGAAATGCAAGTCAACATATTTCTCAACTAGTCTTGCATTGCAACAGGACATTTTAATGAAACAACTTGATAACTTATAATTTACTAAAATACATATCCTTAGGCCAGCCATAACTCACCTGAGAAACGTACAAATTATTAGCAATATGAAAAAAGTGTTGTTATGACAGCCAATGCTTTGTATGTATACTAATTTAATTCAATCTCCTCAAAAGTTAGTTACGGAACATACATTATTATGAATAGGTAGGTATTCAAATCAAAATACTTCCCACATACCACTACTTCACCACAATCACAGCAAACAAGTAAATAATATTTTTCTCCGCTACTGTTTCTAACCTAAAACCAAAAAACACATGACATCTCGTGTGGGAGCGTAACGAACCATGCTTCCAACATTATAACGTCCTTTGACGCGGGTCAAATTTACCGACAACAGCCCGAACGTGCCATGTGTGGACACATATAATCCGTCAGCGCTCTCCCATACGATGTGGCGAATGGCCATGTGTCCAACACTGTAAGGCATTCGCCACATCGTGTGGGACAGGGTTTAACAATTTACGAACGCAGCCCAGTGTAGAGGTTTTGTGGTGTACTTGACTTTGACATTTGTGGATTTGATTTGTGCTTATTTGTAAATTTAGGTTATGTGCTGTTGATTCAAAAATATGTTTGAGTTTTGAGTCTCAAGTTTTTTTCTTTGCTGGTTACTGTTATTTACTGAACTTAGAATATGTGTACCTTTAGTCAGATACGCTGTTGAAAAAAAATTATTTGGAAAAATAGACTAGTGCCACACTGAAAAATGGATCATATATTTTCAATAAGCAAAAAACCAAGCAAATCATTGAACCCATATAAACAGACGATTTTTAATAAATTAGAGAAGTCTGTACTATGTTCAGTATCTAGCACCAATGTTATAGCATTTTGTACAGAAAGCAACATAGAAGAATGTAACTCATTGTTTTGGAGTTCCAACGTCTATGTTGCAGACTTGAATACGCCTTGGCAAGTACACAAGTAAGTAAAACTTTTTTTCATTAATATATGTGATTGTGATTTGACCACTCCATAACCCATTGAAATCGTACAAACACTGAGATATTGACAACATCCTTTCTGGGACATGGGAAACATTTTTACTCAATATGTACATGTATTACTTTGTATAATTATGTAGAATTAATGTTGGATAAACTTATTAGTTATTATTAAGGTACAGGCCCAGCTGTAAAAAGTCGCACCAATTTAACATATTCATACATAACACTCAGGTTATACATTTACATGTTATAAACTGTTCTGTTAATCATAAATATTGCAGAATTCTGGCAAATTCATCCCCTGTAACTGTACTACAATGGGACTACACAGGAGAATTACTTCTAGTCGGGGATGAAAGTGGGTCAGCTAAAATTTATAAGACAAAAGACTACCTTTGGAATGAGTGGAGTTTGGTACTTCAAACCAACTTACAGGGTGAACATATTCTAGCTGCAGCATTCTTCCATTCTGGAAAAAGGGTTGGTATATTTTTAAGCTAAGATAGATGACATAGCACCATTTGGACTTCTTGGTATCACTTGTGAAGGATTATAGGTTGTTTAAAAAATCACTGATATTTAGATATTACACACTGAATGAAAAATTCTATTAATTTATAATACTATATATTTAAATTGACAACTTTTTTGTATGTTGTTGAAGTTGTTTGAGGACTAACTTTATAGCATTTTGATTTGTAGATTTGTCTAAACCTAGAAAAGAAGGAAAACACCTCCTACATTGAAAAATTCCAACATGTGAAGTTTGCATGCTCAGTAAAACAGTTTGGGGGTAGACCTGCAAGTGGGGCGCTCTTATTGACAACCACAGGCATGTTGGCAGCTGTGTTACTGCCACAACCAACTTGCCAAGTACCAATGATCATGACTACTGAGAGCTTGGGACCATCTAGAATTTTTGTAAAGACTGCAGATATTTGCTATGGCAAAAGTTGGTATTTTGGTCACACCATATTTTTGGCTATGCTAATCAATAGAAACCTGTTTTGAACATTAGACATTAATCAAAACATCAGAGCATTCCAAGAATATGCAGAAAAATGCTTGCTGTTCAAAAAAGCTTAGAATGAAGTTATTAAACTTAGCAAAGGTGATTTAGGATAGAGTAACTCATTAATAAACCTATTTCAGATGGTCACTTTTTGCTAGCAGTTAGTAGTGGCGATCCTTCTATGCCAATACAATGCTACAAAGTTTCAGTCAAAAAGGAAGATGCGAAATGTATCATAAAGAGTCAATCTTTACTCAGTTTTTTCTTGGTTGAAGCTCCTAAGGAAGCATCAAGTATGTAGCCACATATTCATATTAGTATTTACCTGTTGTAACATTGATTAATGTATTCTCTAAGAAGATGCTTAATCCTGTTCTGTATTTCGACCTAAAGATGGTGGTTGTCACATTTATAGTTGTATGCAGAGATGGTTGGTAGTGCCACAGTACATACACTAGTCTTCACACAGTCACAGCTTCCAATTGAATTGGGTATCTTTTAGTGGAATATGTTATTCAATGGTTATTGGCTTTTAATCCCAGGTATAGACTAAATCCGGATATATGCATAATGATTTCAGTGGACCAAGTAGTAAAAGAAAAAAATTGCACAGTTAGTCACATAAAATGGATCATGAGAGAAGATGCTGACTCTCTAGTAGTGACTGCTAGCAGTAAGAAAATGAGTTGCCTTCAGGTTTGGGAATTAAGGGAGAAAGCTCTGCCTGTACATAAAGCATTTGCTTCTGATACTCCTCAGTTCTTCAATACTGTTGTAAGTATAATTCAAAATATACTCTAAGCATTGTTATTGATTAAAATCTTCAAGCCTAGAGGAATGTAGGTCTAGTTATGGTTCCAATTTAAGTGGGGCTACCTGCTTCAGCCATAAGGACACTTTTAAGATTTGCACAGAAAACATTAGTGCATTTATGTTTTTAATGGATGTCACAGTTTATGCCTACCTTTTACTCAGGGATCAATGGCAAAATTATGTTTTTAACTAATAACAGAAATCACAATGTCAACAAGAAACACCTAGATTAATATCTCATTTGTTTGTTAACTTCAGTACGTCAGTCTTATAACTAAGGTTTATATTTCAATATATTTGTAAACAATCAGTAATAGCTAAAATTAGATCATCAAGTAGCTAACCTTGAGTATATCAATAAGCAGCTTTTAATGCTAGCCAAATAAAAACACAACCAATAAATGTTAGCACCATACTTCCTTCTACTTGTAAAACTAGTGTTAAACATCATGATCACTGATTTACATATATGCACTGATTAGTATATGTTACCTGAAGATAGCCAACCATATACTACATTCCAGAGTTTAAAAAGGTATCTGAAAGGTACTACCGCCATCTATGAGACAGCAGAAATTAATTCACTTCGAAAAAAGTTAGAGTGTTTGGTTGTGCTAGTGTCTTTACTTTTTGGCCTATTTTAGTTCTGTATCTTCAGATGGAATATGTTAATCAATGCCTGAATATACCCAAATAAAATAAATATAAGCAAGGCCAACAACAGATAAAACATCTTAGAAGCATCTATGAGATAGTTCAGAACCAGAAATCTAAACTCTTTCCAAAGTTGATTCAAGTAGGTTTTTAAATTCATTTTTGCACTCTGCTACTGTCTCATAGATGGCAATAGTATAAAATCGAATGTAGTGACAAAGTATCAAAAGATTTTGTATCTCATTTGAAAACTTACCTCTCAACCAAGTTATGTATTTTAAACATATTTCTTTTTTAGCTCTGGCAATATCAATGTCATTTTCAATATAACAGTCAAGTAACCTCTTTAGCAACAAATAAGTTGAGTTTGTTGAATACTCTCTCTAGTGGCTATGTTGTGGTGACTTTTGCAGACAATTCAATCCACTGTTTATTCCGTGATACTTTAAAACCTATTGTGTATACCACACTCTCTACGATGCCAAGGTGAGATATTAGTTTAAAATTCAAATAACTATACATATTGGTGATTTCAGTTTTACTTTATACCAATAACAAAGAGTAGCTATATCAAGAGAAGATACTTCGTGGTAGGTCGTTATAAAACGCAGGTCGGCTTGAGTGTCTCCTGCATATAGTAGGGAAGCCGATCGCAAATTTTTGTTCACATCACCGCGTACTGATATGATACATAAAAATTAGCCACATCTTACATATATATACTTCGCAAAGTAACTTTGTGGTCGACTCTTAGACCATTACTGGCTTACAAAAAAAAGATCTATGGAGAGACCATCCTTGGTTTAGCTATTCGCTCATAGATGGCTCTGCATGTACCGAGGCAGTGTTGCCAAGCTGCCGTAAAGTGTTTAAAAACGGCTACATTTATACTGAGCTGAATGGAGTTGTTTTTTCACGGTGTTTGGTGGTTACGGCAAAAAGTGGTACGAGATAAGTAAACATCGTTTTAAGACCGGGTATAAATAACTGACAACCATGTCAAATAAACCGACGATTGGTCAAATAAGCAATTTGAGGTTAGAAACTTAAATTTCAAATGACGTTTCTCTTTTGTTACTAGCCCAATTCGTGTAATATATAATAATATGTATGGCCCTAAAAGTTAAATAGCTATGCGATAACTTAGAGGTTTAGGGAATAACTTCTCTCGCGAAAAGAGTGACTTATAACTTTATTGAATGAATATTATATGTTGAATGCTGCAAACGCGTGATGAATATCCTCAACATGAGTAAATGTCCAAACAAAAGTAAATTTGAACAAAAATGCTTTCACTGCAAGTGATGGTCTCAGAATTCATTCAAAAAGGCAACACCGCTTTTATATCCGCCCAAATAACAGCACGTCTTTAGACGCCATCAGCTGTTTTGTGGACGCCATGTTTTTGGATACATCTCTAATCTCTTTCTTATTTATTCGCCTTGTCTAACTGTCTTCTCTTGGTATAACTACTCGTTGCCAATAATATTTTTTTCAAGGTATGTAGATGAACCAAATGCAAAGTATCAAAAAATAAGCACTACAATATCTAGCATTGACATGTCCTGGTTGGGAAATGTACTGGTTTGTGTAGATTCTGATGACAGTCTTCATTTGTTTAAGGTGAGTTACTAAATAGCTAAAACGATGACCCATGAAGTCAAAAATGCCCTCTTTTAGCTTCCACCTCAAATGGATAGTACAAGTCCCCTGAGTGTCCCATACTGTACCACAATTTTGGAATATTCTCTTATAAGTGGTTTTGACTGGTTGGACTTACTTCTAGTTTTAAGGCCAAACATGCTTGACCCTATCTGTGATAGATTTACTGAGAGTTTCAACAGACAACCACCTGCTGTACAGCAGTTTTACTATTTTCAGTTTTTGTGTATAAAGACCTCACTTCATAGGTAAGACCATGTGTGCAATGTTTTTTTTTAGAAAAGCATAATATATTTAAAAATCTGTATCAGGCAGCTGCTGGGACAAATCTAGACTATTTCTTTAGGGGTTAGAGGTACTTGTATCCACATAACTTCCTCAATGCGTACAAGGTCCAGAAAAGACCTAGCTTCGAGTACTGCTCACATGTTTGCAGTTCTACGATCCGACTATATTATTCATGCTCGATGTTGTTCAGGGGAGGACTGTCCGACTGATCGATGAGTTTTCCACTAGAAAAAAGGGCAGTCTCGGGACAGTTTCCCACCAATACCGATTGCCAACGGGCTTTGCTCCATGATAATGCCGCGCGATGCGACTTGCAGACATATCCGCCTGACTTTGGCCTCCCATTCTAACTTCGTATTTCCAGGGCTGGCCGGTACGATCGCTCCCTTGTCCGTGGGGTGTCGAGATTTTGGAATACTCCGCCTGAGAAGGCTTCTCTCACATTTATTAACCTTAGGCAGTCCAACAATCGGATTAACAAAGTGACTTTTAGCTCCTTATAGCAGACGCGGTGCCCTGCTTTTGTCTACGCGGCTGCTTCGGTATATGAAAACAATACAAATTCATTCATTCTACAGACATGCATCTTTAGTATACGTTGTCAGCGTTAAATATAGAAGTGAGCTAGTAAGATTTTTCGCTTAAAAAATTTATTGTATTGCATATTTTCAGATTGGGTTTCCAAGGACAGCAAAGAGCAAATGATTTGACGCATTTCATGATGCTACATAGTATTTCTACAGCTTTCAAAAGTTTGTTGAGGCCCAGCGAAATGAATAGTCACGAAAAAAGTCCGGCTGATTCTTTAGCAAGTAAGGAACAAACTTAATTTCTTTTATGCTAACCCAATAACATGTAGTGCTTGGGGAATTGCACTATTTTTTATTACAGATGTGATCTCTGAAGGCCAATGCGACGTTGACAAAGCTCTGATGCACTTGGAGGCGAAAGAATTTACTGTAGAAACGGCAACGTTGCAAAGTCTGCAACAGTTGATTCAGTGGGTTGCCGATCTAGCTCTGGAGCTGCTGGCCAGGCTACCAGATGCCCCTAGGGCCCCATCAGGCGCAGGAGCTAGTGCTACCACTGCGTCAAAGACCTACGATTTGCTTAGGGATGTCAAGGCTTTGAATATGCTACGTGAGATGCTGGTAAAGTGATAAGAAACACAGATCTAAGACTCGAAAAACAATGAAGGAATTTATGAGAGTTTACAAGTTCTCTATTTTTTATTTGTTTATGCTTTTTGACTATTAAGGGGTCAAGGGATTAAAACAACTGTTCCAAAAATTAATTAGTTCACAAAAGATTGTATGTTAACTGAAGAGATTCATATTTAAAACAACATTAAAAAAGTATGTATCTACATTGGTTGCCAAATATACTATTTTTAGGTGCTCATCAGGATTTGGGGGCTTTTAAGGCCAGCATGCTTACCTGTGTTCATAAAATCAGATGCAAGTCTTGATGTTTTACCTCTGATATTCAGGTTATTAAGTAGATTGGTGCAAAATGTGAGTGAGCCAGATGATGCACTTATTGGTAAGTGAAATGCAGTTATTTATTATGGACACAGTCAGCTCTTTAGGTAATTGTGACTGTATTGCTTTATATTGCTCTTCATCTATTTTTAAAATATCCACAGACAATAATCAGCAACATCTTTTTTACTATGGCTAGAAATGATGGAAAAATAAGAAAATAATGCTGTTATCAAATCATAAAGGATTATATTCAGAACAAGTTAGCCCCTAAAAAAGTTGGCTACGGACATGTATAACAAAGTCAAACAGACTCATAAAACTAGTTCCTAGTCCCCACAGATTTGACAACATTGCCATTTCGGCCTACATCCTGCCGCGGCACTCACAAACCCAGTACGGATTCACGCTGTATATCGCTGTTATCTCTCGGCATTCGAAGCAGACAAAAATACTCTCGAATTTTTTTTTCATAATTTTTTGGCCGTCTGTAGCTCGGCTGTCTCCAGAGCGATTTTCAAAACTACAAAGCTTTTTCGTCATTGGCATAGTAGTCACCATCTGTGAAAACTTCATCAACATCCTCGTCTGTGCCGTAGGAAGTAAAACAGCAATTGCAGTTTTTTTTTAAAATTACTCGCAGCCTCAGTATACTACTGAGGAAGGATTAATATCGGATAAAACTAAAAAAAAAACATTCGAAAGGTATTAAGCAATTGATAAAATATAAGGGGATGGATACGCATTAGATATTAGTATAACAAATACAAAATTTAAAATCTACGAAAATTTTATTCAATCTCTATATAGTATTAAGCTTCATGCACTGTTTCCCAAAAAAATATATGCCTCAGATCTAAAATTCTTCTTGGGCTCTTGGATTATCTTCAAGTGCTCCTGTTTGTATACTGGATCATCAAAAATACAATACTCCTTTTCTTTCTCTATGAACCTCAATGTAGTATTGACACTTGGCAACTTTGCTGCTTTTATCAAATCGATGAAAAATAGTTCTCTAGGTGAAAGTGGTGAAACAGGTTGGTCAGAAATCGGTACCTCACTTGGTTCTATTACGATCTTTGCCGGTGGTTTCTTTCTTATAGTTAGTAATTCTTCTTGTTTTATCTCGCTCATCGGCAACATACTTCCAATTTCTTCGCTTTTCTCAACATTTTTTCTGCAACTGCATCTCCAAACGCAGACGAAAATTATAAGAATGAGAATGAAGACGGAAAGTGATACCACGAAAAAAAATACCACCCAACTTGAGTTGTAAGTCACTGAAGTCAATAGAACTGTGAACATCACTGGAACCAGCACTATCCAATAGAAAATCGTCACCAAACCCACTAAAAGCGGTAAATTGATACAGTAAAAAGGCCTAGATCTTATCTGATTAGGGATGTAACGTTTCTTTTTCATGCACTTTCTCAGCTTTTCCGCAACCAAACTCATTTTGCTTTCTGTGAGAACGTTCGTTGTACACTGAAACTATTTAATCACACTTCCTTTACTGTCGATAACACCGCGGTCTGGCTTGTCGATAACCACGAGAGGTACAAGAAATGCTATAAAACCATTTCTCCCGGATTTAAAAGATAGACACGTGTTGCACATGTGCTTGGTGTCTTAGGAATGAGGGTTATTTTCTGAAGATAAAAGGGTCGTATTGATGACAGATGTGAATTTATTATGATGCGCTGAATGTGGTTGTTTAGATTACTTTATGGTGTATTATTTATTTTTACGCGTTTCCAATGTTCAAGAAGTTGTTTAGCTTTGTGTAAAACTAATAAAGATAATTTACAATATTATAAATTAATGATAAAAATAAATAGTGTTGGTTATAATTGTCGCGAATGTCAGCCACACAAGTTGAATCAAGGTACTATTTGGAGTACGATTAGATAAAACCTGGTATATCAATTTTTGTCTTCTATAAATGGATTTGGGAAGTTGGATGATGTTATTACGCTAAATGAAGTCAAGTAGATTATCTCGGTATGTTCGATTATATTATACAGTTCGACAAAAGTAAGCCGACCCTCTTACCCAGAAATCAAAGTACACTTTTCCTGAAGAATTTTGATTACTCATTTCTAGTTTCCGAGATTTTATTTCTTAACCTAAAAGTGTAAAAAACCGATTTTTGCCTATATTTCAGTGATGGGAGTTTATGCGTATACATTAATTGTCTACGTCTCGATGTATACAATGAATACAATGTACACAATGATGAAGACAATGTATAGAATAGCATAAATGAGGTTAGGTTTATTTGCAAACGTCAGAAAGTTCGTTAACAGTGAACCGGCAACTTTAAAAAAATATGGTTGGACGCCCCAAGAACAAAGAAATCAATGAATTAGGGTTCGGTTTGATTAAAAATGGAAAGACATATTCCGTAGAGTGTAGCGTCTGCAAAAAAAGTTGTCCAGTTCCATTATATCTCGATTGAAATCACACAAGAATTTTGTTTTATTTTACTTAAGAAATGTTCCTAATTTATTTAAAACTGTATCTTTGTATACGTATATATACGTAAATAGATATTATATATTTATACCTTTTGTCATTATTTATAAACTGCTTTCACAGTCAAACCAATAATGCAATAGTGTAGAATTTGTAGCGATCCTGAACTTTCAGTTCCACCTAAAATCGGAGAACCATTAGAATCGATCCGGAATTGATCCTAAACAGATTCAACAGAAATGTGTATTTGGGCGTAGAAAATAAGGCATTGCAGCAAGTTACAGTCGTGTTCTGTGGTTTTAATCACTGTTGTACCAGGCAACGTGGTGTGTTTCGCCCTCTTTCTACACAAGTGGTGCCCGCTTCTCCCTCCTCTCTCTCTTCTTTGTACACATGGAAATCTAAAAGGGAAAGGGACTTTCGCCAGCACTGTATGCAAGTAGCGGTGGCCGCAGTAGTAGACTCTTCGGTCTCCTGATCAGTCGCCGTGCGGGTTCGAATCCCGTCCCAAGAAATTTTTTCTCTTTTCTGTGGATGTTGTGATTGTTCTTAGGTGGTAGGCGGTCTCCGACAGTCGAACGCAGAGGTACCACCCGGCGGATCTCGTAGGCGGGGCCATAATGTATGCATGTTGCATGCACACGTGTTCCCTCGCCAGAGTCCGTGTGCCGTTCCCCCTTTCCCCTGTATCCGCCTATAGCCCCACGGTACCCCTTGGGTGTTTAGGCCTTAGGCCTTCGTGGTAGTTGGAGTATAAAAAAAGTAGTTGAACTGTGATTTGCTATTGTATACATTGTATACGTGAGTATGGAGACGTATATATCCACCACGCGTATACAATGATGTATACAATGCGCCAATCACTGGTATACGAGGGATGTCTTTTAAGTTTTGCATATGGAAATAAAACAACACGGTAGGTAGTTTTAAATGACTTTATTGTTTTCCGAAGTATTCACCACGAAGATTAATACACATCTGCATGCGCTCGAACCAATTTCCGAAGCACTTATTCCACAAGTTTGCTGGCAGATCCAAAACGGCATTTTTGAATGCGTCAACTGCTTCTTCTGGTGACTGGAACCCTTGACCACGCAGTCTGTTTTTAATTTTCGGGAAAGTAAAGAAATCGTTAGGACTTAGATCGGGACTATATGGAGGATGGTCCAATAATTTCACGTTTTCTTCCGTTAAATACTGCCTTGTTTTTTGGGCTGTGTGCGAGCTTGCATTGTCTTGGTGGAGGATGATTCTTCTTTCGGGGTTGATTTTTCGAAGCTCAGTGATGAATTTTGTCAAACAAATGGTGGTATACCAACCGCAGTAACAGTTCTTTGCTCATTAAGAGAAATTGTTGCAATATGACCCGCTATTGACACAAATGTCGCGACCATCTTTTTCGAAACACTTCGAGAACGGATGACTTTTGTTGGCGTTTCTTCACCTTGGATCACCCAAACAGCCGATTGTCGTTTATTTTCTGGTTCATAACAGTAAATCCACGATTCATCACCACTAACAATGCTGTACACATTTTTTGAGTTTCCGGAATTGAAACGGTGAAGCGTTTTTTGACACCAATTAACCCTGGCTGCTTTCTGCTCTTCAGTCAACAGGTGGGGTATCCAACGAGAAACTAATTTTCTTACTCCTAATTCTTCATGTAAATTTTTTTGAATTGAGGTCTTTGAGATCTTCAAGGACGCCTCAATCTCGCGATATGTCACATGTCTATCTTCAATGATGAGTTTGCGCACAGCATCGACGTTTTCCTGGGTGACTGCCGTTTTTGGTGCACCCACCCTGGGATCGTCGCTAAGATTCACCCGTTCACGTTTGAATTCTCCATACCACCGGGAAATTGTCGACTGATGTGGCGCTTCGTTGCCGAAAACAGACAGTAACTCAGCAAGGCATTCTTGTTGCGATAATTGTCTCTGAAAGTTGTAATATATAATTCTGGCGCGAAAATCTTATCGGTTGAGTTCCATTTTTCTAATGACTTGGTGACACTTAAAAATTCACTGTAGTGAGAACACTGCACGTATTGTTGTGAAACATTGAATTTAAGTTTACTAGAGAGTGAGGTTAAGATTCAGTACTAACGTTCGATCCGCGCGGCCTACTATGTTCCTATATGCAAAACTTAAAAGACCTCGTATTTGATGTTTTGCAGATTGACGATTTTTTTTTCCAAAACCCTGGACATTATCTCAAAGTACAAGCATTGCCCTCTCAAATGCCGTTGTTTTCTTATATATCATACAGATCTAAATCGATTCAGCTTTCATCAGAAGAAAATAATTTTTTATTTTTAAAAAAGTATGAAATTGAAAGTAAGTACGTTGAACTCGATTTTGATAGGCTTGTGTTTTGTGTAAGTTTTAGATATTTAATGGATTTAGTATTGAACATTTATGGGTTATTTAATTGGCAGGTTTTATTTCATAAAAATACTGTAACTTATTAAAATTTTGGTGTATTATAATTCAAACCACAACTTTGATGCACACGTAATCATAACGTGTAGAGTATCACATATAGTGAAACTCAGAAAAATGAAAACTGTGCCATATTTCAGCGAAAAAAAAAATACATTCAAGATAGATAGATACTAGCTTTATTGTCCAACAGTGGCCCATTAACAGGACAATATTATACAAAATCCATACAAAAGATACAGAACAAGCTGTATATCAAATTAAAAATATCTCACGTATATCCTTGACCTACGTATGTATTAGCTATCTTAACTAATTCTTTGTTAGAAGTACAAAATATGTCACAGAAAGTACAGAACTATTGAAATTTTTAAACATATTATTTAGCGGCGACTTGAGTGAAATACGAGCCCCTTCCCACTTCAGTTGGCCCACTTCAAGATTTGTACCAAAATATGCCTTTATAAACTAAACATGGCGAAACTATTTACTTCTAAAACAATTTATTTTCTAAAACACATTTTAGATACACTCTAGTCGTAAAAAATACATATTTGAAATCACTTAGACCTATAACTAATAGAACATCTGAACAAATAAACAATGTGCGAATAAATGCGCGAAGTTAACAAAGCAACAACTGAAAGATTACCATTGGGTAACATCACCTTTATTTTTTATTACGGCTGAAATTCTTTGTTGCATAGTGTTAACCGAGTTTTGGCAATCATTTGGTGTAAAACAATCCCATATTTCTTGAAGCTTTTGTCTCAGTTCGGTGATTGTACGAGCAGGATGTTGACGTAGAACCTTTTTCATCTCGTGCCACAAAGTTTCAATAGGTGACAGGTCTGGACTGCTAGAAACCTATTTCAAAAGTGGTACATTATTTTCTTCCATCCCTTTTATAGCCTTTTTTTGAGGTATGGCACGCTGCACCATCTTGCTGAAACACAAAATCTTGGCCGGATGTCAAACATTCTTCCATCACTGGTAAAACCGATTCTTCTAAAATTGCCAAATATTTGTTTGTATCCACATTTCCATCAATAAAATGAAGTTTTCCTACTTCTTTTGATAACATACTGACCCAGACCATAATGGATGCTAGAAATTTCACTTTTCTCTTCAGATAGTCAACATGGAATGCTTCATTTTTTTTGCAAATAACTCTACTGCGACTGTCACCAACACAAACTTCGAATCAGGCCTCATCACTCCATTGTATTGCACACCATTGTTGAGGTGTCCATTGTCTATGTTCTTTAGCCCATCTAAGCCGATTTTTCTTTTGCAGTGGAGTTAATAGTGGCTTTTCTTTGGCCTATAAACAAGTTGTGCAACTTTAGGGTTTTTACTTCACTTTTTTTATAAGAAAACTTACCTTGCAAGTGCTAAATCCCAGTTTGTGGGCCTCTCTATGAGTTGTGGACCTCGAAATTCTCCTTCCAACAGCGTCACTCCGCAGAGCACTTAATTGTAAATAATTGGCACGCCTGTTTTTCACGATTATTCTTCTTAATGCTCTTCGGTCGGCATTTGTGATATTACTTTTTTTCACATATCGTGGCTTAATATTAACTGAACCAGTTACGTTATATCTTCTAACTATATTTCTCACACTGTACCGCGATAAGTCTAAAAAAGTTGCAATTTCTGAGTTTGATTTCCCAGAATTAAAAAATTTAATTATCAGTAATCGAATTTTCTTACTGATAACCTTTCCTCTACCCATTTTGAAAACCTTAACTACCCAAAACTATTTTAAACGTATTCTGACAGCTGTGATTAATAAAAACAATTGTCATGGCTTTTATTTTTCAGAGCCACCAATGCGTTATAGACTTACTTTGTATTGAAATGAAAGGTTGACATGCTGTAATTGCAACATGTGTTATTTTTATGCTGCAAATTTGATTAGGGAGTGATAAAGTTGGTGTTTTCTACTATATATTATCAAAATATTCATTGTTAATATTTTAAACCTATAACACCCTGCTACATTTTTATTATTTGTGTTTGATAAGAAAAAAACTAAGATTTCAATAGTTGGGCCAAGTGAAGTGGGAAGGGGCTCGTATTTGTGCCCTTGTAGCTCTGAACGTGAAGTGAGTACGCGACGCAAAAGTTGGTACACTGATGTTGATCTTTCCAAGAAGTGAGGAACTGTCAATTAGATTATTTAAAAGCTTAAACAAAAATATCAATGTCACAAAAGCCAAATACAGTAGCTTAATGGTTCTTATGTTATGGAAATGTCTACAGTTTCTAACAACAAATCCATATAACTGTATAGCATGTGAAACTAATGCTTCAATATGTTTACCAAATGTCATGTAATCAAAAATCACACCTAAATCCTTAATTTCGGTACAACGCTCCAGAGATAGCCCATTCAACAGGTAAATAAAGTGATAGGTAGTTTTCCTCCTAGAATAACTCATAATTTTACATTTGGGTACATTAAGAAATAACTTATTGGTATCACACCAGGGCTGGAGGAAGTCCAATTTAGTCCGAAGGAAAGTACAATCATTCAAATCATTGATAACGGAATATATTTTCAAATCATCCGCAAAACATAAACGCTCACTCTGCAAATCTTCACATAAATTATTGATGATAGCAAGAACGGCAGAGGACCCAAATTTGAACCTTGAGGAACACCGGATGAGGCTATGTAAGTATCAGAACGAAAATTATTATAAGAAACAAATTGCCACCTCGAAGATAAATAAGATTCAAAAACCTAGCATCACTAGAAAAACCAAATTTGATTAACTTTCCAAGCAATACATCATGATTTATTCGATCGAAGGCCTTCGAGAAGTCCGTGCAGATGACATCAACTTGACTATTGTTGTCCAATGCCTCCGAAATATATTGCGTTATGGTAACTAGATTTGTAGCAGTTGAACGGTTTTTAGAAATCCATGTTGATGTTGTGAGAGTTGATTGTGCGCCGAACTATAAATACGATTGAAAAGTATTATCTCAAAGACCTTCGAGAACATGCACAAAATGGAGATCGGACGATAATTTTCAATGTTGGACCTGTCTCCAGTTTTTAGCACAGGAAATGCTTTGGCGACTTTCCAAAGTTTCGGAAACTTCTTCGACCGAATACACAAATTAAAGTATTTTGTTAAAAAAACCACGAATGCTCCGGCACAATCATTGATCAAAAAGGATGGAATATTATCGGGGCCTGAAGTCATTTTTTCCTTAAGTTTCTTAGTAGCAAAATCATTACTTCATTATCAAAATGTACATGAGCAACATTGTTGAAACTATCGTCCACATTACCCAAATCGGCTGCTTGGGACTCTATGTAGACGCTCTTGAAAAATACACTAAAGGCATTCACAATATCTTGCGGATTATCAAATGATTCGTTAAGATAAACCATCTTTCCAGGGATCCTAGAAGTGTTCTTTTTTGAATTCACATATGACTAGAACCTCCTAGGATCATGCGATAATGAATTATGAATATTTTCAGGGTAGTTGTCGTACGCACATTTGATCCGGACCTTAATCAATTGGCGTAGCCACTGAAATTCGCATTCATCAGCTCCCCGACCAAACCTCCTGAATTTATTTCAGTACTTCACCTTTTGCTTAATATTGCGGAACGCAACGACATTTGAAAGGTCAAGGCTTGTACTTTGAGATCATGTCTATGGTTTTTCGAAAAAAAAAATCATGCTGCATTACCTTAAATATAGGCAAAAAGAGCTATTTTTGCACTTTTAGGTTAATATACTTGTATTTCGAAAACTAGAGCCAATTCCAAGATTTAGACTACGGATGCGGATTCAGCTCATGAAAAATCTTATGTTATTATTCAAATCATACAAACATATTAATCAAAAATACTTCAGTTTGTGTCCAGAGGTATCAGTGGCAAAACATTAAAATGATACTCAACTAAGGTTTAACTAACCAAAATGATTGACTGCAATGATGACGAACTTCGAAAAAGTAAAAAAAAACCAAACACATCATTACGAAACAATAAGTATTGACGCCACGATATTCGAAGGAAATCTCACTTTGTTGCAGATGAGTGCTGTTTACTACCAAGTCAAGTTCAAATACAATTTCTGCAGCCAGCTACAAACAGAGTAGTTCTTGGTTCTCCTCAGCTGTTTCAGCAAATTTTGCCTCTACAGGTAAGACAATCGTATAATATCTATCAAAATTTAAAATAGTCTACTAATTTAGAGAAAAAAATGGCGCAGGAATTGTAAAAATATGTAAAATCAATACAAAACTGTTTCTAGAGATATATATAAACAATGCTGTACACATTTTTTGAGTTTCCGGAATTGGAACGGTCAAGCGTTTTTTGACACCAATTAACCCTGGCTGCTTTCTGCTCTTCAGTCAACAGGTGGGGTATCCAACGAGAAACTAATTTTCTTACTCCTAATTCTTCATGTAAAATTTTTTGAATTGAGGTCTTTGAGATCTTCAAAGACGCCTCAATCTCGCGATATGTCACAAGTCTATCTTCAATGATGAGTTTGCGCACAGCATCGACGTTTTCCTGGATGACTGCCGTTTTTGGTGCACCCACCCTATGATCGTCGCTAAGACTCATCCGTCCACGTTTGAATTCTCCATACCAACGGAAAATTGTCGACTGATGTGGCGCTTCGTTGCCGAAAACAGACAGTAACTCAGCAAGGCATTTTTGTTGCTATAATTGTTCCATTTTTCCAATGACTTGGTGACACTTAAAATTTCACTGTAGTGAGAACACTGCACGTATTGTTGTGAAAATTTGAATTTAAGTTTACTAAACGGTGAGTTTAAGATTCAGTACTGACGCTGGACCCGCGCGGCCTACTAAGTTTCTATATGCAAAACTTACAAGACATCCCTCGTACGAGGGACATCTTACTTAGTGGGATATTACGAGGTCTGTAAATTAAGTGATGAGACTGACAACGTAGCGTTCGATCTGGCTACACTGGAGGCGCCGGGCTTGGAGGGAAGTCAGGGGAACATATGATCCGCCCTCATTACAAGTTTGAACTTACTTGAGTCCTTTGGTTGTTCGCAACGAAGTTGAAAAATCACCTCAGAGGAACTAATTTTTGGGACAGTCGAAAACATTCAAACCGCTGTAACCGATTAGTTGAAGGCTATTCCAGCACTGTTATGAGGAGTGGAAGAATCGTCTCCAGCGCTGTGTGGATTCAGAAGGAAGTTATTTTGAGGAAGACAATATAAAAATGTGATTACGCTTAAATAAAAAAAAATCAGACCTCGTATTTGTACGAGTTTAATCTAGGACTGGTTTTTGGCCCATTCATCATTCTGTTAATGTTTTTAATCAATTTTGAGCTACAATTTTAGCATAACATTTGAATTTGGAATCCTCTATGTTACCACTTCTTCCAAACTTAGTGGAGTATGTATATCAAATTATCAATAAAACCCACAGCATATCACTTAAACTTACTTCAAACCTCTTGTGTACTGTGTCAAGACAAACACGAGCATTACAGCATTTATTCGCCTGTCAGTGCATGGCTAGCTTGTGTGGCCATCTGGCCAAGACGCTCGCAAAAATTTGACGGTCGCGTTGTGGTATTTGTTTTCATGCGCCATGAATAAGGCAAAGATTAGTTATATCAAGAGAAGACCTTTTCTGGAATGTATTTATGATCCGCCATTATAGTAGGCGAGCCGACCGCAAATTTTTGGTTACATACACGATTTTTCAAATTTTACGTATTTTTATGCTAAACAGCATTCTTGCCAATTTTGAATTGCAAGCTGACGTTCCTCTTCTGTTATTAAATTAAATTGTGTAATATTCCGCCCATGGCTCTAAAAGTTAAATAGTTATATGATAACTTACAGGGTTTTATACGATTTACATCGACAATTTCCTCACGAATTTGTTCGGACGGATTTCTTCAAGGTCATCCTTATTATGTTTTGCAGTGCTTACATGAATGGACAAATTCATGGATTATCTGACTGAACATAGTGCTGCCAACCACAAAACAAATTCTTGCTAATGTATTCTGGATTGTGGTTATAATTTTCAGGTGAATATTATAAAAATAAACCATATTGTTGAATACTGTAAATTTATCAAACTTCTATTATATGCTTACATCAATTAAATAGTTGTTGAATATAATGGAGAGGAAAACAAGGTTGGCGCCATGGATTTTGACGTCCAACTTGAAAAAATTAGAACAAGTTATAATTGTCTGAAGAAATCCACGAAGAACTTCATGGATTTATTTGACATCAAATTAAAATACTTTTGAAATTTGGCTATGAACTCAAATCCTGAAGAAATCCGTAGATTGATTGTAAAACTGGTATTTGATAATAACTTCTGTTTACATGACGTGGAGAGCACTCACGAAAAGTCTGATTTGTAACCTTATTGAATGAAAAATATATTTCGTAGGCTGCAGATGGATGATAAATATCCAAACCACAAATAAGTGTCCAAACAAAAGTGAATTTGAACTAAAAATGCTTTCACTACGAGGGATGGAAAATTAATTCATCTAAAAGTGATTATATATCTGGAAACGCGTCATTTATCTCTGACCAAATAAGAAAATCGCCGGACTAAACACGCGGTCAGCTGTGTTGTGGACGCCATGTTTTTTGTTATATCTGTCTGTCTCGCTCTAATTTATTCGCCTTGTTTGTCTTCTCTTGGTACAAGTACTCTTTGAATAAGGTTTGAATGGAGAGCTTACCTACGTCACTGTCCTTCGCAGCTGGAATTCAACATCGAACCCGAATGCCTGACCACGTCCTCTCCACAAGCCGATCAACCTCCTGGCAGCGTAGGCTCGTACACCACCGGCGGTACCGGCATCGCAGGCTACGGCCTGGGGGCAGGCACCGCCGGGAGCGGTTGTTGGGCAGGCGGTGGAGGCGGGCAAGTAGTGCAGACGGTGGATCAAATCAGACATTTGTACCTGGGCAGGACACCAAGGGCGGTCAAGACGTGCACCAGGTGCGGAGGGGCAGCGGGAGCGGGCAGTACGGGCGCCAGGGCTACGGCGGCCATAAAAGCATGGGACATGCGATGGGCGAGGAGGTGTCAGTGAGTATACGTTTATTATTATTAAGGTTCTTACAATGAATCATAAGCGAGGGCGGTCAGGTGGCTCAGATGGTGAATCAAATAGGGCATTTATACCTTGGTACGACGTCGAATGCGGTTAAGACGTGCATTAGGAGCTGTCAGAGAACATAATATGTTTATTATTGATATTATGGGTCTAAGGCCATTAGAATAAAACATAACGGGGGGTGGCTGCCTTGAACAGCAGTATAACCGGCGGCTATCAAAGCATGAGGACTTTAGGTAGTACACCATTGGAACTAAACACGAGGGGCTGACACTTTTTTGAGATATTCATTTAATTTTCTTTGGATCGTGAAAGCCTTAAGAGTTCCCCCTCCAAATTTCCTTAAATCTCTATATACGCAACGAATAAAATCGTAAGGTCTGCTGAAAAATCAGTAAAGTTTCATCCCTGAGCTATAATGGCGACAGAAACGTGCCGCATGCGTCATGCTAGTTGCATTTTCTAATTATTGACAGTTGTACTGAGTAAACATTTCTTCATTTAATTCCCGTTTTTCAGGTGTGGGGGATTGTGGAAACTACATGTGTCATCATAGGTATAGATATTTATGCAAAAACCAGAATGATAATTATATTTAGATGTATAGGTAGATAACTAGCCATGAGTTGATTCTGATAATTAGTTTCCAATTCATAAAGTGACTTGTGAGGAAAAAACAGTAACTTCAAATTAGAGTTTCGCAGTAACATAAAATGTTTGACAAAAGAGGGCCATCAGCCGAATACAGTTGTTAAGAGAATGATTGCCACTGTCCTGAGACAAAAACAATATCCAAGCAGTGGATTTACGAAAGGTCTCCACCTCCAAAAAGTCACGGACGCAACACTCTGCTGGAAAATTGATAGCAACATTTTTTTAGGATATCAGGTGTTTCATTCTCATTGAGTACATTCCAATAACAATAAATGCGGAAGTCTATGCGAACACTCTTTACGTCAAAAATTAGACCAATTGTGTTGGAATGTAGCTTCGTTGAGATAGATCATTCTCAGTCAGGACTTGGTTATCCGACCTTTATCTCTTTAACTTACCAAAGAAAAACTCTCAAAGATGCCGTTTTGACTCAGATGATGGCCTAAAACATCCGTCGATGACCTTTTGATAGTCAAAAGGAAACATTTTTCAGTAAGGATCATTGGAGGAAAAGTAGTGCAAGTGCATTGATGTATATATTGAAAACTAAAATTATCAAATAAATCTTACGTCTTTTGTTTCATGGCTAGGTAGATTTATTTTATAGTACCACTCTTATATATGTTCTACCATTAATATGTGAGTGCTTTGTACAAGTATTTTTATAATTATAATTATATTGATCGTACGATTATAGCATTTTTATTTCTTTATCCCTAATATCCAATATTTCTTTATACTTCATGACAATGTTCAACTATATGTCATTATTATCATCTCCCTTTTCTACTAGATTAACTAATTTCCTCATGATGCACTTCATAGATTCGAAGGCTATCTCTCCATGGGTTTTAGCCATCACAGATTTGCATTCCTCTATAACTTTCAAGTCATTCATGGTATAATACCTGAAAAAAAAAACAAAATATACAGAATGTACAGACAGCTATTGGTGAACGTGCACTGAAATGTCACAATCCTGACAAGTATGAATGAAAAATTTAAATAACTGCTACTTCAAACTTCCGAACAGATTTTTCTGTATAGTTAACAGCTTTCGAACCAAGTTACCCTTTACAAAAAAAAACAAGAAAATCAAAATCCTTCGTATCCTACCTTGATAAGAAATCTTTGAGATGGTCAAACTGCATCTTGCCATTCGATGCTTGAAAGCCTTGCTTCTTGAAGCTACATGTCAGAAAGTCCTTGTACTTATCATCTTGAGTGGGGTTCAAAGGCGACTGGATCGACTTCGTTATAGACTGAATGTTAGCACGTGTATTTTGCAGACATTCCAAACCAATATAGTAGCGATGTTTCATATCCTCAGCATATTGGTCTACATTTTCACTTGGAACTAAATCGACTGGGACAGCTGGAGCTGACTGTAGAATAAATTCTAGTGTTAACTACTTTATATCATATGTTTAGACTAAGTTTGCTTTGTCAGGAAGTTAGTTGAGGCTACGAGATTTCGTTACACAGATATTTAGCACCAAGAAAAAAATTAGCTACATATTCAGTGGTTCTAAATATAAGTCCTAAAAGTTGAACTCTGCAGAATATTTCACTAGGTCTATAGTAATTCTAGCTAACTACGTTTCAAAAGAAACAAGAGCTTGGATTTATGTGTTGATAAACCTTGCTGTTTTGAAGTTGTTCAAGCTCTCGTTTTATGAGTCACATTTTTGCTAAAATTGTTTATTTACCTCGGAAACGGCAATAAATGCAAGCACCAAATAGATTATCTTAATACATTCCATTTTTAATATATGTACATGTATCACTACACAACTTTCCTAAAAGACTAGATAATGATATCACATGAATGCTGTTTGTAATTGAGAAAGATCTTTAGGTCAGATATATGGTCATTGGCGTAGCTTGCAAAAGCTTTTAGTACTTTAACCCTATATAGTCGTGTGGTCAGTATTTCACTTCCTCTACTTCGTATGCAGGGTGTTTTCTAATCGGATGTCAAAATTTAAGGAAGCGATTTTTCGGCCCATTTTAAAAAGAAAGCTCCATATGAACGTAGGACCTAAACGTCTTAGTTTTTGAAATATAGGGTGGAAAAGCTTCCAAAAATAATTTGTTTTATTATTGAGATCTGTAATACAACTTTAGATATTTTAATGACATTTGGCATACATGTACTGAATATCAAGACGCAATTCCTTATGTACCTCGTTTTTTCTTTCTTTCACCAATGACGTTTGTACCTACGCAATTTCACCTGCATATTTTGGCAGAAATTGATGATACACCACTAAGTTCTCTTAAACTAAAGATTATTCTTGAAATCACCAATCGTTTCAACCTGATGCGGGTTTTAGCTTAAAAAAATAACTATCTACATATGATATAACAATGTTGTTAATATGACAATATCAGTATGCAGAGAAATAGATTTTCTTTTTTAGAAGCAGACCGGCGCGGGTATCACGTATCTTGAAAAGTCACATTATGCCGATTTTGTTTGACATTATGCTGTTTTTTTTGACATTATGTAGGTTGTTCTACAAGTTGTTAACTTAGCACTTGGTTGTACGTGTTGCCTAAACGTCATGAGGCTTGTCTAAGCTGTAAGTTGTATGTGTTGATGAGAATTACATTGGGTTCTTGTCTTAAATACACTTAATTGAGATTCAAAGCTAGAAGTTAGTTGCGCATCCACTTTTTCTTATGCATTCTGGAAATTACATATACAAATTTGCTGAATTTCAAAAATGAGAGAGATAAGAAATAATTATATTCACTATACACTGTCGAATTACAAGCCATATACATGCTAACAGTAATTACACACAACGTGGGCGCGGTGATTTCCCGTAATTCTCCTCAGTTTTTCGTAATTTATAACTTTGAACATAACCTCTCTTCAGAAAGCACCCGTCATATTCGGCATATTCAGTAATGATTTTCTCACACAGAAAATATCACTGATTTTATACACATGCAGACCAATACACATATCATCCAGATGCGATCTTGCTATTCAACCAACTTTTTTCTCAGAGATAAAAACTACAGACACGGATCACTTAGCCTCACAAAACTATGCAACTAATAATGCGTAGTTTAGTTGAGTGATTCCTCCAAAAATGGACGTTCACAACGATCCTAGTGAGCAAACGTGAACTGACTGTTTGCGCCCTAAAAACTACCTAGTCTGCAAGTTAACATCTTATACGTTTTTTTTGACGTGTTGTAGGTTTTTTTACATGATACTCGTGCGGGAGCCGGACTAAAATTCAAGAGATCAAATATGCTCATAAATGAATACAGGATTTCAATTTTTTTAGTTCAGGAAAAATCAATAGCATGCTAATGACATATTTTTGAAAACTTTACCACCTTGTATCTAAAAAGTTGAGACGCTTAGGACATACGTTCATATGAAGTTTTCATTTTAGAGTGTACCCAAAAATCGCCCGCCCCTTAAGTATTGACATTCAATAAGGAAACAGAGTGTATAATTGAGATGCTGATTGGGCATTAACATTAATGGACAGGTAGCGGTGTGAAAGCCCATTGGGGTCGGACAATGTTGTTGATATTCTCGTTTTAACCCGGTTGCCTGTTAAGTAACTATAATGAACAAGAAGAGCTGGGAAATGGTAATCTAAAGTGAAACATATTCGCCCTAATAAAAGCATAACCAGGATAAAAGAAATAGTATTACAACCTGACACATCCTTATGTTAAAGATGTGAACAGGAAGATGCGACAGTCAAGCACTTGCTTTGCGACTGCCCAGCTGTCCTAGCAATCCGAGAATCCATTCTGGGGGAACGTTGGCCTTCTAGGGCCAGCGTAAGGGAACCTCCGCTAGGTCGCATTACCACATTTTAAAATAGTCTGGGGTGTCTGACGATCCAGTCCTAAGCGGCACTTCGGGAGGACGTACACGGGGCCCAATGGGGCCTAAGTGCTGTGATCTTGGTTGATTGTTCTTCCTCCTATACAGAATTCAGAACCTGGAACCTGCAGTCGACACATCAGTGTCTGCTTCTCTAAATCTCTCAGTAGGGTAATTTTCCTGTCCTTGATAAAAGTTTGGTGAGAGGGCTCGCAAATAAAAAATTACAAGAGCACTGGGGCATTACAGCGTAGTTTCAAAACGCCCAAATTTAAATTTAATATATCACTCCAAACAAAATGGTAGTAATTTTCAGTTTTAAACATCTGTGACAAAAGTAATTTAGTTATAGCTGTTTCCGATTTTTTGTTCATATGAAGCCCACGATAGGTCATTTCGCATCTTTTTGGTTTTTTGTGTGACTAACATTAGGACATGTAGAAACTGGTTCAGTTACGTTTTCCTGAATATGCGCCCTTAGTTGAGAATTAGTTCTGATCCAGCTTTGACTCGAGGGGGAGGACTTACTCACAGTTGCGGATTTAGAAGGCTGGGAGGAAAGGTATCGGCGAATGAAAATTGGCTCGGCTGCATCAGTGCTTCTAAGAGCTGATGACTTTCTAATAACTGAAGAATAGATTGATTGAAATAAAAATAAATCACGAATTGTCTTATTACTTTAATACAAATATATTTCGTACTTCTGGACGTCTATGATAGGTCAATCCATATCGTCTATTTTGTTTATGTTTACTTTTATTGTACATACTCCGATAATGTATAGCCTCTAACTACGAGAGAGCCTTTATAATGTAGCAACAAAATGCACGCTTTCAAGAGAATTAGTGGATAGAATCATACAATTTTGGTTATCTTAACCAGTAATAGTCATGATTGAGTAAACATAATTTCTTCATGGAGGAAACTAAAACACTATATAATTACATTTTATTTATTTATTTATCTCTTATATTTACCAAATATTTGAATATTGTACTCTAAACCGTGATTTTTGGCTGATTTCATGTGCAAGCTGACGAAGTTGTGACCTACTCCGCCTCTCAAGATCTCAACCGTTGATCCCGTAGCTTGTACCTTCTCGCTTATAGCCATTACACAGTAGATGTTCTCATCACCAAACCATTCAACCTAGAATAAATCAATTTGTATAGATAAAATTAGTTTATTGGAAATAATTGAACTAGATTCTTTGGCGAAACAGTGTGACTATTATACGACTGATTAGTAAAATAATATATTTTTGTTGAGAAACCGACAGTATAATAAAAAATAACAATATAACATAGTTACAACTACATTTTTACAGTTTGCGTCCGAACCTCAGTTTGAAACTTCCAGCATTGGCTTACTCTCACTTCAAATAACGTCATGCTCGTTAAATTGTTCAATAAACTGCCTGACCATGCAAAAGAGTATTTATAAAAGTTGTAAAAAAGATAATTTCAGAAAACCCTTTGTATTAAGTACTTTAATCACGATTTTTAAATGTGCTTTGAGTGTTATAGTTTGTAACTTCTGTGTAATGTTATCTTGCTTGTTTTATATACTGTACGCCTATTTTTATTTATATCTACGACCTATATATAACCGCAACCCGACACAGCACTTGTGTTCAAATACAAGCATTCTCTCCAAAACGACGACAACCTGACCAGTTTCTCAATGATTGGTGTAACTGCCGTCGCCAGTCGGTTTGGAAATGGTGAAAGTCTATACATGCCATTGTGACATTTTAGCTAACGTTCCGATCGTACCTTCAAAAAAACATTTACAGTAGGATAAAGTACTTCCCCATCGCATGTTTGTGTTCTTTGAGGTGACTCAGTTGGAACAGCCGTGTTGGACACCTTCTAGGGGACTATATAGTTGATACAAGAAGTATGGCAATTAAGACATGAAATATGTTTTCATACAAGGTGTTACTTATCGAAATAAGAGAGAGCAAAGCGCCATCTACTACCAGAATCGACTACTGCGAGAGTTTATAGCAGCTATCGGTTGGAATTTTGAAAATCTCATTTCGCGTTTGATAGGCCAGTTACCACTGTGATACGTTTTCGTTCGTTGTTCTAAAGACCAAGCCTAGACTTTGCTGACGAGTTGCCAAAAAGTACGAAACAGCTGTCTGTGGTTGGCTGTTATCGGACGGACGAAAGCAGCACGTTTAATTGAGGTTTCTGCATATCGTCCCTTGCACATTATATTTGTCATACATGTGGCGTTTGTGTAGCCAATATTACTATAACAGAGTTCTGCCACTCCCAAACCGGTTTGTTTCACTATGTTAACACCTTCAGGGGAAGATTTAAACTGTTTTATATTTGAAAATGTATTAGTTTATTCAATGGCAAGTAGACCACCTCTACTATACAGCCACAATCGTCAGCCAACTAGCTGTCTTATGGTGACTGGTATGTTAAACCTGAACTGAGATCTTTACAGTACCAACAAATAGCAGCTATGCGCTCTCGCAGTGGTCGATTCTGGAGAAAGGTGGCGCTTTGCCCTGTCTTATTTCCCCTTCTACTTCTATCCCTACTGAGCGAGTAAAAAAAATGCTGGTTTCGGAATAAAGCAATAATGCCGCTGAACGATGCGCCTGCTAAACAGACCAACCTAGCTCGGCCTCCCATCCTTAAAGTGTCGAACTTCGTACTTCCAGAACTGGGCGATATCACTGCTTCTTTGTCCCTAGGATTTTCTGTCAGTCAAGGTTATATAATAATATATTACTTATATTCCGCGTTCTTACTGGTAAAGTACATAGTGACTCTTTCCATGACCTCAAAACAAGGCTGCTAGTTGTTTAACGGTTGTCTTCGGTGAGAATGCAAAAGCAACGTAACTAATGTCGAAATGAGGATGAAGTCGAGTTGCTTTTGGTAAGACCACGGCTCACTATAGCAAACCCAGGGTAGTCTCGGTAACTTGAGTTTCGAGACAGGACTTTCTAGATTTGAAGTTTAGTTATTTAACACACAAGTTACTGCTGCACTACGTGCAGAAGGTGAAAAAATAAAATATCCTACAAGTTTTTATCAGTCCTCTCAATTTTCGGCTATATTAAAAAAACTGTAATGGCCTCTAAAACATTGAACTATGAAAACTTACCGTAGCGT